TTTATCCCGGCGCATTTCGATGGCCATTCTAATTCCCATTGGTTGGACTATACAATAGACCTATTGTTACGTATCCAATAGGACCATAGAGCCTATTGTTAACTCAGGTGGTTGACGGACAGGACATAATGCCATTTAGTCATGATTTCTACCAAACCGGCCCGAGCCCGGATTTTGAAATGGCAAACTATTCAAAATATAAAGGATAAGGGAAACCATTGTGTGTATCTAGTTACAGCCTTCCCACAAGTCAAGACCAGAAATATACCATGGGCAGACAGTATTGTTACCCAGAAACATAGTTACAATAATTGTTAGACAAATTTACATAATATCGAAATTGACACAAAGATTCTTCAGACTATAACTAAAAACATTTAAATCCTTATTAAATCTAAAAAGAATATCAAATCCCTATGATCGCTTCTTATGATGTTTTTTAAGTTGAAAATTTTCAGCAACTCCTCTTCAGTTTCTCTCGCAAATTATTTCTATGACCTACAAGATTTAAAACAAATAAAATCAATGATAAAACGCAATGAAACACGACGTAGCCTGTAAGAGAAAAAAACATAAACATTTGAATACATTTTGCGCAAATATAATAGCACCTTTTGCCAAAAAATAAATAGACTTAGTTAGGAGATGATTATGTGTTTGACGATGGTGATGCAAACTTATTGATGAAACTACGATCTTTTCGTTAAAAATTTTGACAACGCTTAAACAGTTAAGAGTTGAAATTTTAGTAACAAAGAAGAGCAGGAAGGCACGGAAAAAATATGACTTTCGGAATAACAATCATGGGGGGACAATCAGGGGGAACAATCAGGGGTAACTAGCAATGTATAGAGACGATTTTAGGGAAGGTATTGTTGCCAACAAATGGTACATAGAAAGAATGTTTAACAGAGATCTAAGGAAAGCTGTACACGAAAAACAGAAATCCTTACACTTGGTTCCATGAGTTCTGGTTCTAAGCATCTGTGGATGGTGCTGTTAACGACTTCATCCAACATGAAATGAGCTAAGCTGGAAGGAAGGTCAAAAAATCTCAGAAGCGATGTTTATGGCGATTAAATTTCAAATTTACATGTTTTCCGAAACAGAAAAGAGTAGGGGGGAGAAAAAAGAAAAAACTTACTTTTCGTCAGTGACAAACCTCCAAAGATACAACTGCAGGTAATGAGTGTCGACCTGGATTTGTTGTAGGCCGTATTTGCTAAATGTTCGAAGTCGTACGCACTCCAGCAATGTCTGCAAAAGAAGGACGGGTGTTCACTGCCTTTTTCCCAGCATCCTCCTCTTTAGGACATGTCCGGTACTAACTCCCGTACGTTATAATCACATGCGCTGTTATATCGTATCCGAGCCATTGCATCAGATGCGAAAAAAATCAAATTCTCTACATACGGAGTTTAATCTCGCATTACGTGTTTCAGAATATGAAGATTACATGCCTTGAAGTTTTTTGCAGAAAGGTTTTTGGTGGATTTTTGAAACATGTTAAGGTGTAAAACCTTCGTTCACTAATATCACTTGAAAACACGTTAAAAAGAGGAAAACTCACTTACTTTCAGAGCGATCTTTATAATGCCAGTTAAAACAGAGACTTTGTTGAATTCCACAGAAGTGAAAATTTCAATTTTCTCTGAAAATAGTTTCTGTATGTTACTCATTAAACTTGCATCCACACTCATACTGCAAAAAGAAAAAATGAAGGTAAACTTTTTATGAAGAAGTCAGGTGATAGTCAAAGTGTTAAGCGAATATTCCTTGGCTGTTAGCAGCATTCTACACTTGTGAATCCGTTTACCTGCATAAATATGGTCATTAATCTCATCTCTAAACTTACAAGCATCTCCATTCGCACCACAGCAACCCAGAGCTACTCTCGAAAAACGCAACCCTTTTTGATGTTTTCTTTTCCTTTTATTACTGTGATTGTAATAGTTTTATTTTGTGAAAACAGGCTAGCCTGTTACAAATTACCAATGGAACACAGAGAATTGTGATTGTAATTGTGACTGAAATTTGAAATGAAAAGTTTCCATTGCTATTATCATCATCATTGTTATCACAACCTCGAACACACACGAGACCTCTTAACAGAGCCCTGAGAAACTCAAATAAGGTGTACCTACCCTGAGTTGTAACCTAACTGTTGCTTGGCAGCAGCACGGTTCATCCCTTGCGTCCATTTGCTTGAATCTGAGCTATGTGCTTTCCTGGTGCCCTCTTCAAACAAATTCCCAACCTGTGAGTCCATCGTAGAAATGTCTTCAACGACCCTCTTCATCACAGCCCGCACAGTACGAGGCTCAATGGTATTAAGCCAGTCACGAGTTTCGACGCTTTTCCTTATCATCTAGCAAAAAAAGAAGCCATTGCTATGATTTCGTCGAACAACGAATTCGCAAGTAAGAGATCTTCTTCGTGAAGAAAGACGTATTTCTAGAAGAGGGGCTGCAGAAACCTTAAGTAATTTTATGAAACATAAAACCAAACTGAATAACCTCATTTAGGTGAAATATGGAGCTTCACAACAATAAAAATACGTCACTGATGTCTAAAAAAGACTGGACCGAACATCTACAGCTATAGAGTAAAGCCGAGAATCTGCCAAACTGCTGGGCTCCAATCAACAATGGATCCATTCAATGCTTTGAAAAGCTTTCATTATCTATTGAATGTTAATCAGATAATGAAGTAACGACTTTTGTGCTTCGTATTGCTATATGACTAGAAATTATGGTTTATGGTTCTATCTTAATATAGAAGCATTTTTGTAATACTTTCCATTTTGTTGCAATGTTGTCTCTTTGTGAGGCAAGGGTAAATATTGGTTTATCCAAACTCTTCTGAAAAAATTTAAACCGATTTTCGGGGTTTTAAAGGTGGGGGAATGAGCAACCCTTAATCACTTGAAATCTATAAATATTACCAATTTGTGGCTAAGCAATATGGCGCTGGTTGAAATTCGAGGGCTTCAAGGCAGCTCAGCTTGGAAACAATAGGTTGCTATATTCAGTCTATTTTGAAAGATCAACAACAACAACTACACTAACAGCAGGAACAACAAATGTAGCAAGAAGAGTAACAGCTGCAGCGACAATGTCGTTAGAAATGACAACAGCCTAAATGGGAAAAGGTGACTTAGATTACCTGTGATACTGAAACACCTTGGGCTTTGACGTAAAAGTTTAACAGCTCCTGGGAGATATGGAAAACAACTTTAAATGCAATACAGCAGATCTGGCTGAGAAAATACCAACAGAATTTTCAATACCGACAGTAAACCTATTTTCATGAATTTTCGAATAGAGTAAAAGTGCAACTTAAATATCACGATAACCTTTTTCTTTCCTTTAGCGTCAGCCCCGTGAAACTTCATCAATGCAGAGTTTTGAGCCTCAAATGTTCTTATCTTCGTCAGCCATATAAAGCTCGAGAATTTAAAAATAAGAGGCTAGATGGAGTCACTTGTGGGGCTTGAAAATTTAAATTTAAAATATAAAAGCATGTAACAAAATTAGACCTGGGATGTGTTTTTGAAATCTTCACATAAACCAGCAATCGAAGTAACTACACAGCCCTGTTTGATGTCTTCGTCAACAGGAAACCATTCTTCAGTAACCGTTATCTGAGAGGACCAATAGAAAATGGGCAATTATACAAAACATTAACGGCAACAAAACAACACAAGGGCCTGTTTGAATGAACAAAATTTACCCCCAATGAGAAAATTTATTCAGCCTATAAGCTAGGAGGTGGGATGAAATCATCCAATGTTTACATGCAAATCCTATCCCACCGTCCAGCCCTTAGCTTCTTTCGTATCCAACCTCTCCGCTCTCCCAGATACCACATCACCTCATTTTTCGTTATGGGATGCGAACGCATGCTCATAGATTAGAATTTCATTCCAACTTTAAGCCAATTTCGTGTTCACATTGTTCACAAATTTCATCCCATTCAGGTGAGATCCGGCAAGCTGAGAGTAGGGTCTCACTTGCCCCGGATAAATCGTTTCTTATATAAACTTACGATGGAGATTAGAAAGCTTTGTACAGGAAGGCTGGATCTCACCTCTCAGCCCATGGGATGGAGGGATAATTTTGCTCATATTTCATCACAAATATGACGTAGATGTAGAACAATATCCAGCAGAAGACCTGGAAGGGTTTCACGCGACACAGAAGATCAGATTGAATTGAATGGTCACATTTCAATCATTTTGTACTCTGATAAATGAGCCTAAAAAATACCTTTCGCCCATCCATTAAGAGAGGCTCAGATAAATTGGAACAGTCTCAAACTGTTTAAACTCAGACATTCAGTTAAGTATGGAAATTTATTCAATTCAGAAGAAAATTTGTGACAAGAAATCAGTGGTCAATGAAAAATTTGTGAAGCTTAGTGAAAAATTTAAAGGAGAAATGACCGAGAGTAACTTACTAAATGTCTAATCGTTTTCTCTGATAAATCTAAACACAATCTTGACATGATGATCAAAAGTGATTGTGGAACAGGCATACTTCCTGACTGCTCACATCCGAAATTCTATAGATGAAAAAGAGTTAAATAAAACATGATCCATGAATCCGGCAACTTTTGGGAGACAGATTGATGGGTCTGGTGGGCAAGACGTTATTTTGAAAAAGACGATCTGTTTGAAAAGTTATGCTGATTCTATGTGACAGTGTCCCTTAGTGGGGAAAACTATGGTTCATAAGAGGCAGTGGTGGAAATTGGAAGTTTAGGAAGAAGGAATAGTTTTTACGAAAATGTAACTCTTTCTTTAAATTGATGCTAAAACATTCTGTCCTTTCACAAAATAATTTAATGAACAAATATTCATGCACAGTAGAATAATATGGGCTGCTATTTTAGTTTTGACTTTAAGTACAATGCATTTATCCTAACGAACTCAATCACAAAATCATCAGAGCCTTAATTATATCTGGAGCATAGGAATACCTTTGCTTTTTCCAAAACTGTTCTCAGAAAGGAGACAACGAGGCTTTCCCTGACGTCGTCGATGCAAAATGGTCCACGGAAGTAAGGTTTTGAAGAAAAGGTTATGTCCATATGAATGAAAGCCTAAAATGAATTAAAAGGAGGCTGGCTATGATAACAACGTATTCACACAGGCATAAAGATGTTCAATAAAAGCTTGATTTTTCTAACCAATGTCGTTTCTTTATTATAATTTATATAATTTGACTGTCTCTGTCGAGATTAAACTGTTCTTTTGATGTTTAAACGTTAATAGAAAAACAAATTGTGATAGAAAGAGAGTAATAAAAACTAGGTAGAACCCAGGTCTATCTAATGCCAGTGTCATCGCTCCATGTGGCAGTCTTGAGACTGAAAATCTAACGTAAGCTCTTACCTTCAAATTCTGCAAAACAGACTTCATCTGGTCAACCAAATCTGCTAATGCTGTTGCCATTATATCTGCCAGGGTCTGCTTTTTATCCAGGCCAACAACCCTCGAACTCACCAAAGCCTGGCGCATGTCTGTTATAATACCTGTGGTCAAAGACATATACGGTCACATCCGTGCTACCTTCCCTCTATAGTAACAGGGCAGATTGAAACATTTAAGTCCCTTCAAAGACGTTCCTTCAAATTAACTAGTCTACACGTTTAACTGGTCATTCAACATTTTGTTCAACTTTGAAGATGATAGATCTGTATCATCTTGACAGGATGCATAGCCCTGACAGCGCCAAGAAAACCAAAGGAAGCCAAACTTAACACATATCTCACTGAAAGAACAGAGCACTAGTAGCTGTCACAGAAGCTAGAAAGCAAATCTAAATCCTGTTACTTAAAGGTACTGCTCACCTGCCAACTTCTCGCTGAGGTAATCTGAATATTGCTTCACTCTGTTGTGAGCAGCCAAGGCTACGATATTAGCGCTGGTTCGTCCTATCCCTTGGTCTGGCAGAAGTTGATGTATGGTCTCTATTTTGCGGTTAAATTTGTCAAGAGCTCGCACCAGTATCATGCTATCTTCAGTTTGCACCTGTGAATTGCCAGAAAATTTGTTAAACCTTACAAATCAATAATTCTTATCTGCCGTACAAAATAATCAGCAGGCACAATTGGTTTATATGCATGCTTGGTTTCGTCTGATCAAATCTAACGGAGACTATTCCGTCTTTATTGGAAATGATAATGAAAAACTTAGAAGGGTTTAACAAGCACCAAATATACTAAATTTGACGAACCTTCCTATCCTGTCCTAAGGTTCTCCAAAGGACATACTCTTGAGTTTAGGAAACAAATGAGAAAGTTCAAGAAAAATATATAGACTTAAATACTTTCAAATATTGTATATTTGTTAAGGAACAGCTGAAAGCTTCTTGATTTGTTTATCAATACTAATTCTAGCATTTCTTGTTCTCATAAAAAACATACCTCTAACTCTATTCTTCTTTTGATCAGCTTAAAATACTGATTCATGTGCCCCATTATGAAAATGTTCAATTTTTCCTTCGCTACGTCTGTTATGTTTTGCTGCTCACTATTACTGAAATTTAGAAAAGACATTGATAATATCGTTTTAAAGCAATCGATCCCATGTAGTAAAATTGCTATCGGATTATGAGCCATAGCTGACTTGCTTTGGCATTCAGATAGGGGTCTAAATCTTACGAAAAATAAGTAACCTGACTGGTTTTGTTTCCGTCAATCAATTGTACTGCATATACTAATCTGATTGGAGGATCTTGATCCGAAGACAAAAGAGCTCGGGATAGAGGGAGTTTGCTGTGCAATGATTGGCCACAGCAAAGCTAATCAGGTGAGTCATTGCAAAAAGCATTTGATAAAAAAGTAAAAACAAAACATATACGCACTCTTTTGATTGTCTGATGAAAAATAATTCATTATACGAAGCAATGACCAGGGTTATATCACTCAGGAATCCGTTACAGCCTTGGTCGATAAAATCCAGAATGTCCTGAAATCAAAAAATCACTATCGAGCTTACTGAATTAGAGTCAATTTAAAAAGAAAATGAAACCGTAACAGGGTGATGTTAATTTTTAGGCAAAATTATAAATAGCAAAAACCATACAATATCTTATGACAGACAGTTATCACCGTGTTATATCACCGGGCAATTTTTCATAACAACAAAACGAAAGGCCTCGTGGCTTCCTCTATTTTCAGTCTAAAGGCACAATGTCCCGACGCATTTCAACGGCCATTTAAAATACCCATTGGTTGGACTATAAAAAAGCCCTATTGTTACGTATCCAATCGGCAACCTAAGGCTAAATCTCAATGTTTTCTCAATTATAGACGCCTCTGTTGTCAAATCTGAATAATTGACTGGCGAGACAAGGTGCATTCAACTCCAGTACATTCTTTGAACTCTGATTTGCAGTTGCTCAATGAAGATAACGACGAAAAAAATTGTAACCCAGCAGAGACCGTCGTGCTCAAATAAGTGACGCTCTTCTAACAGAACAACAAGAAAGCTAATGTTGTTTAAAGTGAAAATATACTGAAACTCACTGTTGCCCCTGTACCTTGAGAATCTTCTTCACCTGCAAGACAAAAAGAAAAGACCAATCAACAGGAGTGCAAAATATTTATGTGCCACTTCTGTGCCATTCTGCAAGAGATATGGGCAATCAGCAGGTGTTGTGACATCATCAATCTTCTCTGCATTTCAGTTATTCAATGGCACTATCTTCAATTAATTCACGAGCATTTTTGCGGGTGCTAGCATGCTGTTATTTTATCCCTTCATATCTAGCACTGTAAATACCATCCGTTTTTCAGTTTGACAACTATGGTCTTTAGAACTGTTCCCTCTCAAAAGAAGAGTATTTATATATACGGTCCCGCCATTTCGTGCTTCGTGACACATTGCCGTCTGCAACACAAGTCGTTCACAATTCCATTCACGTGTTGTTAATTTTGCCGATTGTGCATTGCTTTATATTTCAAATTAGTATTTAAAATCTTTATGGGCTGCTTTAGCTCATCATACGCATAAACAACATGGAGCTCAATTAGAGCAAATAAACACAATGACCGTTCCAATAAGACACGGGATTCAGCATACAATGTGTCAGTTTTGGGTTATCAAAATCATCAAAGATCAGATAAAATTCTTACTTTCAATTCCGCGTACTTCGTTTTCCCTGAAGGTAACCTTGGAATAGGAGCAAAAGCAAGTTACATACATAAAACGAAAAACATGATATCTATGAAAAACAAAAAATATTTTTAAATAAAAACTAAGAATTTAAAAATTCACCATATGGAGAACAATCACAAGCTTTTGCAACAGGCCTAACGCGAGGGCCTGAGATTTTGGAAGAGCTATAAAGCTAAATTTCCTTGAATGAGAGCAACTACTCTGGCCTGTAGACGAAGCGTGAGTGGCATTTTAGGCGTCTTTTTCATTTGAATCACTCGATTGATTGGCACTACAGCTCACTAATAAAGCGGGTACCACATTCTTCCTTTCAGGTTATGACGGCTGGCTACTTAATCCCTGCAGTTTAGCCAAAGTCATCGCCCTGTTTTCCTCAGCCATCCTTGGTATTCCCAAGCTGATACTTTTCTCGTTTGCATCACGCTTTGATAATGTAAATAATAAAAAATTAAAGTATTCTTACTTGCTTTTGTAAAGAGTCAATACTACATTCCACTTTATCTTTTGCCCTGTTGATGAAGATGAGCGGTTTCAAAACGGGTGAAGAACAAGCAGAAGATGAAAATTGAGGTGGGAACAAAACTAAGAGAAATAACTTAAAACTGTTCAGTGGTAAATAATCAAAAGAAAGTGAAATTTTTTGTTTTTTTCCTTCAGCGCGTTGCAGTGTTCCGCTTTTTTGTTCAATTGACGCAAGAACTCGCAGCAGCCCTGGTGATGTGGTTTTTTTTATTCCTGAAACATGTCATTATATAAAGTTGAATCTCGTTAAGTCGTACCGAGGATAATTCAGACTTTTACTGAGTCAGACTGAGTTTCGATTCCCATTAGATTTTTCTACGACAATGTCACACTTCGGATAGGTCAGAAATTCGCTAAGTTGGATCACTTTCTTACTAGACTTTCCCAAAGTCTACTTATTGTTAACTTCGTTAGGCATTCGTAATACTGCGAGGGCATATCTAAACTGCGGAGGAGCACAGAGTTAACAAAAAACAGAATTTGGGAAAGTCTACTTTTTTACCCAGATGAAAACGTAATTGGATTCAACTGTAAACACCAAACTTTATTAGACCATATTCATGTTAGACAGGGCATGGCTTACCATCAAGTTCAAAAGTTTAAAAATATTCTTTTACGATGACAAAATATGCTTGCCTTACTACATAAAACAAAGTGTATGTTAAATAATGCAAAATGAAAAACAATACTGCATTAATTTGTGCCCTGCACATTTTTGAATATTTTGTGAAAAAAGATCCTTACAAAAAAGATCAAAAACGATCACAGCAAAGCATTTGAACATGAGAAGAAAGAGGCCACTTTAACAAGACCACTCAATCGACTGAAACAGATTCTTGTGAAAAAAAAACATAAATTGTAACTTAATAAGGGAACCCCATGATAAATTAACAGCAAAACAGAAAACATTGTCCTTGCACAAACTTCTATTTGTTTACAAATGTTTGTCTGGCAAGGCTCGCCAAGGGGTTTGATACTTGAATGTCAAAAACTATCAAAGATCAATTTTCTAATAAAGAAAAATATTATGAAGCTTCAAGAGATGACTGGCAGGAGGTTTCGAATACTGAGCATGAGCAGAAACATATGAGCCACTCATGTTTAAAATACATCGCACATTTTGGATCCCAAGTGCTGGAAGGTGGAAAAACGGGGCCAGCATCCCTAATTTAGATAGCAATAAGCAGAAAGACCCTTGAGAAGAAACTAAAATTTGTACTGTGTAAAGGTAAATACAATCAAACTCGTAACACTCACAAGCTGAGAAATTCTTCACAAAGTGCTGCTGCAGGCTCATTGAGTCTTAAAAGCAGATTTACTGATTCTGTGAGCTGACGGGTTGTTGACTAGAAAAAAGAAAAACATTTCCAAAATTGTTTTGATATTATATATTTTTATCTCATTCACTTATCATTCACTGAAATTGGAGGTTCAAGATCAGTGAATGACATCATACAAAAATTCAAAATATGTCAAAAGCTTCAACTTCCAATTCATATTAGCTAGTTTCTTTTTATCATTTTCTTGCTCTTTTTATCAGCCATAGGCACCAACTTTTAGATTTCAGAGGGACAGGTTTAACCTGGGTACCAGAAAGTTTCTTTTCTTTTTACAACAGGTCTGGCACACAGGGTATTGTTATGAAAATGGCTCTTGTTTTTTGCAAGGAGCATCTTTTCAACCTAGATGATTGACATCTAAACACATCAAAACTCATGTTCATTGAGAGTGTCCACTCTTAAGAAAAGAACTGTTTTGATTTGCAGTCTTTTAAAATAAGAAAAATTTGTTTTTGTTACTCGCTGAAAATCTTTACTGCACAAAAAGGTTGTTTGAAGTTGCTGACTCTGCTTAGAATGTTTTCTAATGAAGTATTTCCCAAAAGCTTAATTGTAACTTATTGATTTCAATATCAGGAAAAATCAAAAATGAAAAATCAGAAAAGACAGAGTATACTTTAAAACAATAGTAGACAAAACAAAAAATACCTTTGGGTTCCTCAGTTGCTCTTTTAATTTTTTTGTCAGTTCAACAACAATAGCTTCACAGTCTGAATGTATTCCCTTGAAAGAAGGCATGTCTTTGTATCGATGCAGCACATCTCTGGCTTTGATGTAATATCTAAAATAGTGATAAGCAGCACAAGAAGCATCAGATCATGTCCAGACAATATGCATACCACACAGAAACTTTAAGATACTAAATCTGAGAGGGAGAGAAAGGGCACAAGTAGCAAGGGGCACCATGTTGAAAAAAATGCATTTTTCGAGGGGCTTGTGCTTATATAAGGGCATTTTTCAAAAGTTAGAGGGCATGTGCCCCTGATGCATTCCTGGTTCAACCATCCCTGAAATCAGATCAACTAGGAGAGACTTGCCAAACACAAACGCAGGTCAAATCCAATTGATAATCTAACATAATCAAACTACAAGCAAAACAAGATAAGCAAACACTACATCTAACAATTACCTTACTGCAATTGAGTATTGTCCCATATCCATGCATTTGTTGAGCCGTGATGGAAGTTCAAACAAAAATTGTAACTGTAAAGAAAGCAATTCTATATTGAAATAATGTTTTATGATAATTCTTTAAAGAGAATTTATGTAATAGTTATGTAATATAGAATTTCAATGCAGATTGCAAGCCGGTTTAACCAATCAGCAACTGTGTCTTTTTTGCCCTACCTCTTGCTATTCATGCAATCCATAGTTCAATTTATGAGCAAAAAGCATTTATAATCAAGAAAGTACTTTTTCTAAAGTTAAAGTTGACATCCAAAGTTGAGAAGAGAAATCATAAAAATATTAGAGAAGTTTGAAAAGCAATAAAATGATTGCTAATGGAAGTTTGCCTCCCTTAAAAGTAGGTCATTTTAAAGTGTTACACCAAGGTCAAATGATCAAGTGTAACTAATGGGTTTTTGTTTGAGTTCTTATATACTACCGTTTATCAGTATCATTTAATAGAAAAAAATTATATTTTCACTATTCCTAACCTTTTGCAACAATATGTGGATTCCTGATAGCTTGGAAATCTGTTCCCGTTTTTCTTGAAATGCACTACTGACATCATCGCTAAATTCCATAACTTTAGACAGAGTGCTGTCCAGCTTCCTCATTTCATCTTCCATTTTATGAAAATCATTCTTCATCTGTAATAAAACCAAATTAAAAATTACATGATAATCATTTATGAGATTACTTTTTTGAGTAAAAAGCTTCTATAAAATTAAGTGACTCAAACAATACACAACAACACTGAATGCTATTAACAATCATGGTTAAAACACTGCTATAAAACTTTTAAGAGAAAAACTACCTTTTTAATGGTATCTGTAGCACTTATAAATTTGTTGTAATTTTCATAAACCAAAGTTTGCATGTCACTATCCAAGCTTTTGATTTCTGAAAAAAATTATACAAGATAAATTTTATACAACATTTCATTACTCAATATTAAAAGCAATGTTGTTAAAAATTCCAAATAAACTTCAGCAAAACACTTTTGAATTTACACCACTTAGGTTTAGAAAGAGAATCAGTGCTTACGTTTAACAATTTCTGTTTCTTTGTCCATTAGTTCAGGTAGCGCTTTCTCTTTAAAAAGCTTTTCAAGGTAAGATTGATACTGGAAATGAGCTCCATTGATGTCATGTGGATCCTGATCTTCACCAGGGGTTGACTGGTCAGAAATACCATAGTATAACTTCAAGATGCCTCTTTTCTTTCTTCTTGATTTGTCGTCTTCAGGTTCTGCTTCTACAAAAGATATAGTATTATTATGAATTAGTAGTATTATTGGCTGTAACAAAAATAAGAAGCAAAGCCGATATGTGAAGCATTCTCTTGTAAATTTTTTATGCCTCATATGCCTTCCGAGTTACTTACCAGTTCACCTTCTTATGACAAAGGAACACTTTCCTTTATTGCTAATTTTACTGAACCAACTTTCGCGGGAAGTTGATTCAGACAGGGAAGTAAAAAAGATTTTGTTGAGAAGCGATAAAATGGATAGCAACACTATTTCGATTTTCTGGTAGAGAATTTGATGCTGGCTTCAAAACAAGAAAAACAGCTTTTCAATAGCATTTTCAGATTTTGAGATGTCATTGATCTTTTCCGTTGCTATAAGACAGAGAGAGGGCCTATGCTATCAGATCCTTGCTTCCGCGACATAGCAAGACAAACAGTTATCAATTAAACGGTAACAGTTATCCAAGGCACCAACAGTAGTAGTTGATAAATGTTTCAATTTGGCGTTATTATAAGTAATTGGTGTTGGATATAGGAAGAAAACACTATGAGCAGCGTAAACTTACCCGCCATGTTGGTTTTGAAGCATAGCCTCGTTTACACTCTACGGATTGCGATTGCGATCCAGGAGAGACACGTCACCCGGGCCCTTGGCTATAGGGGCCAATAAATAATAACTCACTTAAAAAATTTTCTAAGTAATAAACCAGTCTCTCTATTACCACAAACTGTCATTAATAGAGTCAATAAATGCAAAAGTCTATGAGTGAAATAAGGTAAAAGCCGTTTGAGTCTTTGATTGCCTGAATGATAAAGATATTTTCTCATCTTTGTAGGCTTGGGCTAAAGAAGTTGAAAAGCTTATCAAACAGCAAACAGAAGTAATAGTCACCAGACAATGGCGTAGATAGGAAAATTCACAAGAGGGATGAGAAACTTGGATTTTCCGACAAAAATCTAAAAAGCGTTTATTTTTTTCCCTAACTATCAACATAGTTTAACGACATCGGAACTGAAGAAAATAAATCTTTTGATATATTCACATATTCTTATGTTTATTTAACTTCAACTTCTTTCATATCAAGACAAAGCAATTAGGTAAACATAGATAACCGTGTTAAATTTCCGACAAGACCAGAAATTTTCCGACGAAATAGAAGTTTATCTATACAGGGGGAGAGTTTGCCCCCTTTGACCTCATACGCCACTGCCACCAGAACAGTTTTGCCACCGCAGCAATTTTAGCAACCAAAATAGCCACCAGAGCAATTTTGGAAACCAAAAAAGCCACCAGAGCAATTTTAGCAACCATCATTTCAAAAATTCCTGGGGAGCATTCCCCTACCCCCTAGAAGCATCTGCCTAAGGCATGCATCTTTCGTCTTGATCCGGGGCCCATCAATCCTCTCCGCGGCCCTGTCTGCAACATGTGTTTTTAGACTAAATATATAATTGCAATCTTAAATAAAGAAACGAAGATAAGAATGGATTTAGTTCATGTTCTAGACGCCATTAAATTTTTAATCTAGATTTAAGGTAGTGGATAGAGGGTACCGATTCTGTTTCAGAGTCCAGATCATTAAAAACTTTGCACGCAAGCAGTGGCGGATTTGAGGAGGGCAACTAGGGGCAGTTGCCCCTCCCTCGACGAGTTGAAGAAATTATGGTGCCCTTTTTTGGAAATTATGCGGTTGAAAACAAACTTTTCAAAGGGCTTTGAGATGACAGGCAAGACTGATATGGGACGATAATTAGATTTTTCAGTCTTCTCCATCTTTGAAAATTGGAGTAATTCTTGCTACTTTCCATGCATCTGGGAACTGGCTAGTTTCAATGGATGTGTTAAACAGGAAAGCCAGAGAATTCCCAATATAAGGCAAAGCAAGCTTAAAAAAATCTAGAGATATTGTCAATCCCAAAGCTCTTTGTTGTTTTAACCTTGGCAAATGCATCCCTGATAACAATAATAATAATCTACCATATTTATACAGGATAGCCTTTTCAGTAAAAATAATACTGCTATCACTAAGGGTCCTGTCCTAAGATATCTTTCAGCTCAATTATCTTGAAGTTAACTTAGCCTTATCTTTGTTAACTTCATATTCACCTGTTAGAAGGGGATTAGCGGCAGGTTGTATTTTATCTGCTAGATTCCTACCTATAGTGCATAAGAAATTGTTCATTGCATTAGAAACATCCTTTTTGTTCCGAGTTTCTGTACCAGATTCTATGAGACAATCAATGCTACTTGACTTTGATCTCTTGTTTAAAAGTTCATTGATTGATTTCCAAGATTCCTTCATATTACCTTTACATGCAGAGATCCTATTGGTATAATGCTGCTTCTTCAACAGAACATTAAGGGCATCGACCTTATTACGGATCTTTCTGTAAGAGTCCCTAAGTATGCTGCTTTTTTACTTTGTCTCTTGTGCGCATCAAATCCCTAATCGGCGCATGTTTTTTCTATAATCAGAGAAAACATTTCTGCAAGTTTCGTAATAAATACAACCGTGCGGTCCCACAGGAGCCCCATAACTGGGGTCTGACCCTGGCATCAGAGGCTGTTGCTGAATTTTGTGCCAGCAGAGAATGGAGACCTGCTTTAAACAAACTGGGACGTTTGTACACCGGTGCAAATCTCTTTGGATTAACTGAAATAAATCTACATAGAAATCTTTTACTGATCGACAATTTTTAGCAAAAGTTAAACTGAGACATTGGCAAAGCTTTTTTCATTATTGAGTGCACTTCGACAGAGTTCATGAATAAACTAAAATTATACACTATATTCAATATCAAATTTCAAGGCAAAAATACCTTACGACTATTCCAAAATTTAGTATTATCATATATTGTAGTCAGTTAGTATTATTTGCTGCTATCTCTTACTATTAGATGGTAACAGAACAATGATAGCAATAACCGAACATTATGATATAAAGAGACGCCGAAGCACATTTCGGAGTTGGTAGGCTCTAGACAAGCTGGCCAGCTCTTATGGTAGTTTGCAAACATTATCTTTGATGCTACAACTTTGATATCATACTTTAGCAACATCATTCTTCAGCTTCAACCCTCCCCAAAGCTCCCTGGCTCTGGCATTTCTGACAGAGCAAATCTTAAGACAGAAACCGAAACATAAACCTAATAACGACGGCTCTAATGTAATAGCCTGATTTATTTGGAGATATTTGGAGACAAAGTGAAAAACTTTGCGTCAAATTGTGAAGGATGTTACAAAAAGCACTTCAGAACGGAGCTGGTTTTTCATGCGTTTTCCCTTTAATTCGGCGCAGATCAGCGGCCAATAAACAACGACCGGAATGGCAATAGACATTGCAGTGAGTGTTGGTATCTTATTGAGTATGAAGAAAAACCAATAGAATTGACCTGACCTGCAGGCATATCGCCGAAACCCTTGGTCATGCTTGGTTGGTTTTTCAATAACGTCATCACCCAAGCGTAAACACAGGAATTCGGCGTCCTAAAGCTTTCGTGAAGTGTTTTGTGCCGTAAGATTTATGGCGAAACGAGCCTAAGTTTCAATAAAATGTTGGTATCAATTTGAATTCAAATAAAAACAGACATGGAAATCAAAAGGCTTTTCCTGGTTAGCTTTTTTTGCTATGTATCGAATTGTTTTGCATTCAGAGGTGAGTAAAAATATATACGAAGGGAAATAAAGAAAGAGTAAAATATCATTCTGCATAATGTGTCAAAATTTTAGGCTGGAGTAGCATCTTCAGTAACGCATTTTAATGTTGCTTTTACACATTTATTCTTATTTTGCAATGATCTTATTTTCTTGAACATTGATAACCTTGGATATTTTTTCTTCTAAAGCATTTATTATTTGGGTAGAAATATAACTTCTCATGAAATATAACATATCGAAAATGTTTAGATTGAAACAGATTTTGCCAAAGAGCAGGAATTTATTAAACCGTGAGAATGAATTAAGTATTGCAATCACTTCAAAATGATTGTAGAATTCAGCTAAAACTGCAATCTGAGATTCTTCGCTCCTTTATTATTCGTGAATCGATTCAAATGCTTGGACCTTTTAATGAAACAGGATTGTGATTGTAGACAAAACTACAACAAGTGAATGGTGTGCTATATAATCATAAACCATTATTCTGATACACCAAAATTCATTTTCAAAGAGCAATGGTCACATCAAAAAGCGCGATAGGCCATTACATTGTAGAAAGCTCCGTATAATTTGTTTATTGTTAATTTAGTTTATTGATTTCCACAAAACCATATGTACAAGCCAAGGTTTATTTAGGAATATTTATTGAAAAACCCGCGTAACCTTTTGGTGTTCTGCAGTCTGCAATGTACAATGTACACGTTTTCATTTCCAACAACAGGGTACAAGCACAGTTACATAAGACACCCTTCAGATGACGACGAAATTACCCATGGATTTCATTTATCAAAGAGTTACCCAGCACATCGGATAAGAAAACAGAACATTGAGTCAGAAAATCCGTCAAAACGAGGTTAGTTCTTTGTTCAAATTTTGACCAAACTTTGATGCAGGTATTGAAGTTTTTATGCATTAATTTCCTTCTCTAAACTTTGATCTTGTCTTACAATGCTTTGCAGGGTGTTTACGAACATAGCATCAAAATTTAAAAGACAATTAACACATTTTGAGCTAAGGTGCACAATAAGAATGGAAAATGGATCATGAACATGTCAGCATATACGCCAGTTACTTATATGCCTTGATTTTTAACATACTGTAAAGTATCTCAGATTTAATCTAATTAATCGATGTCATTCTCTTCAAGGATTTCTGGCCAACCTAGCAACATTGCTAAATGACGCAGATGTGTTGTCAAAGAAAAACAGTGGTATAGCAAAGTCGGCCATTACACCTCTGTCATTGGCAAAATCTGAGCCGACTGATCGTCCATCGCCAAAAGTAACAACGGAGAATTCCGTAGCAAGGTCTCTAACAGAAAGACACGGGGCTGACAAAAATGAGCCCACGCCATCGGCTGGTTCAGTTGAAAGTACTCTAAAAATAGAGGGAAAAGACTCAGCACCGATTTTCGCGCTCTTTCACGGCAAAATTGTGCCACTAGGGAAACTTCCTGATTCATCATTTAAGAAGAGCCATACAGAGACACGATATGACGAAAACAAAAGCAAAGAGGTTTCAGAAAAATTGGAAAATCACAAGTCAGATGGTGTGGAGAAAGGCGAGGCAAAGAGCGAAGTGCGTGTGGCAGAGAAGAAACAACATACATCGAGTGCTGAAGAGAACGAGAAAAAGGACAAGTCTAAATCACTCTCACCATTACAGCTCAGCAGGCTCTCTTCATACTTTCATAACTTAGATTCGAAGAACAAGGCTGATACAGAGACAAGGATGGTCAAATCACGAATCAAGGATGTCACTGGTACAGCGAAGGATGAAGTGCCAGAAATAATGCCAGCGATTAGGAACTCTGAGTTTCTCAAGCACGTTAAAGGAATCGTTCTAGATGATGGAAAAATGGTGAGCTTCAAAGGAAAGCAAGCAGAAGTAGAGAATGAACAAGTAAATATTAAAGCTCATTTTGTAAACTCTTTCAGAAACCGCTTTCAAAACCGTCATCGGTTGATCATTCGGATTTTCATCCTCCATCTTTTCCGGTCCTCTGTGGTCTTTTGTTGTTAATTGCTAAAGCTATTGATTTTATTAAAGCTTTCTTGCCTTCCTTTAGATCAATTTTTACCCACTGGTTTATTTCTTATCATCCCATCACATACTATTACACACAATGTTTCAAGCCATCTAAGTGTCGCTTTTCAGATTTTCTTACATTGACACAAAACTCCTGCATTTTCATGTCGTCATTCTTAATATTTACCTTCCTTCCTTTCGTTAGATACACTATCAGTAATCAACATCAGTTCCATTCGCAGGAGCATTTTCTGATCTTTCTTTCTGAAAACGCCGGCTTTAGCTTCATATAATTCATTCTTACTCGCCCCAGGCGCCTCTATGCTCATCTATTGTCAAAGAGACTCTTACTCTCGTGTAGTGAGTGATTTAGTCACATTGCATGACATGTTACCCTGGGTACCAGAGTCTCCATTGTTTAGTCCCATAAATATAGTTAGAAATAAAGAAAGTTGCTTAACTAGTCACAGGAACATTTCTTGAGCAAGAGCAGCTGTTTACAATACTTTACCCCCGGAATTATGAGGCTCTGGTACCTAGGGAAAATTTGCCGATATGCCACTGCACAGACTTTAAAGCTGAGAAGAAAACTTTAAACAAAAATATTTTAAAGTTTCTTATTTGTGTAGTGAGGGACTGTGTCTAGGTTAAATCATTATGTTCTTTATATTTGATTTGATTTCTTTCGAACTGATAAAAAGAATCCAGATTTCGACCAAGCTGGAAACCCCCTTTTCAAAGAGGTCTAGAACCCCCTCTCGTAGTCACCATTTGATCTGATTACAAACCATATAGGTACGCCAAAAAATTTGATTAACCTTTTACTGTTTTTAGGCAGGAGAAAGCGAAAAGACGGAAGATGCTGCCCAGAGATCTGGAGACACTGAGAAGAGTTATGCAATTGACAGCAGCTTGTTGTCACAACTGACGAAGAGCAAGGAGAAAACAGCTGATCCAGTGGCACGTGACACCCAAAGTGTCATGCTGAATTTGGATACATTGAAGGGCTTATTAAAGAAATCTAATGACGGAGTTTCACTTGCGAAATTGCTGAACAAACCAACAGAAGGTGCAGCGGCAAACACGCAGGATGAAGACCCAGGTATTTATAAGATTAAAAATAGACATTTGGAGTAGTTATCGGTATCTCGCCAGTATTGAAAACTATCAGTCCTTTAAAACCGGTACCTATTCTAGTAAGCTGAGGAACAAGGATCGCAATGGCTGTGCAAGTCTACTGGTGCAAACAGAAACCCTGCTATAATCTACAAATATGGATGTAAATCCTAATAACTTGGATATGACCTGCTTCTTTAGGGCCTGCAACCTTTTAATTTTATTTCATTTCCAATTGTTGCTGCTAAAACGTAAGGAGTTGTGATTGAATATGCTTAATTGTTTGTATTCCCACAGGAACCATTGAAGATTTTGCTGCTGGAGGATTGAAAAAAACGAACGAGTTCAGGGCGGAACATCATTCTCCGCCTTTGATTTGGTCGGACGATTTAGCCAGCGAGGCACAGAAGATGGCGGAGCATTTAGCAGACCTCAAGTCGTTGGAAATATCCAATGACTTGGAAAAGAAGGGTTACGGGGAAAATGTAGCAAAAGTCTGGGCGAACTTCAAGACCGCTGGCGAAGCTGCGACAAATATGTGGTACCACCAAAGCGAAAACTATCATTTCGATGATCCGCATTTAGACCAGAACACAGGACAATTCGCGCAGCTCATTTGGAAGGACTCGAAAGAGCTTGGAATGGGAGTTGCAAAAAGTATCGACGATATAAACAATAAGTACGTATATGTCGTTGCGCTGTATCGCCCACCTGGCAACATCGAAACCACGTTACGAGAGAACGTGTTAAAGAGGGGAAATGATACGACAGATGTATACTCTACTTTCTTTAAACGATCGCAGCAAATAAAGGAAAGCGCAGTGCTGTTGCCTAAACACGAAGGAAAATCAAATGATAACAACTAGCTCAACGTACAGCTTTATATTCGTAGTAACATGGAACTAGAACATGGTAGTAACAAAACCGCAAGAACCATGGACTAGCAGTGACATTAGTTCACAATGACGACGTACATGTTCTGAAGCAAACAAAGGAATGTGTGATTATCCATAGTTTATAAATGAACAATTACAGGGTGGCACAATGACTGGTAACACTGCTTACATCGTGTCTGGCATCATACTGCACCATTCCCTTTCTCCAAAGCTTCCCTAGCGTTTACAATTTTAGGGGCAGCTGTCCGTGACAACTTTCACACCAGCTGACTACTCTTTGATAAAAACCCTTTTCCTTGTCCTTGATAAAAATATTTTTTGTATACAACAATCAGACGGTTTTCGTCAGAAATAAGCATCGTGGGTGGAAATGAAATGGAAGCAATTCTCATAAAAACTGGAAAAAAATTATTATAAGCAACATAATTCAGTATTGGCACAAACTGATTGCCCTTTAGACAAATACCCTTTCCACTTTCGAGGCAGTATTATACGTCAGTTTACTACGAAACTGGCACTGTCAGCATCAAGGCTTAGGTTTTGCCCCTCATTACAACTGTCAATACATAATTGACTTCATCTCCTCTAGCTGGAACACTATAGCGACTTCTGGGAAACATTTGATATACGACAGTTTGAAGGTTAATCGTTTTCGGGACAAGAAGTACTTTTAAGCGTAGATTTGTAAAATCAATTTGACTGCATATTCTTTTTGTAAATAAATTTATGCCACTACACTCGAATACAACTGTCAAAGATATAAACCTTAAATATTTTTCAGTACCCTCGCGGCAATGGCCAATCGAGACAAATTGAAACAAATTTGGGATTGTATTATTCGCATTTGAGTAAAGTATTTTTGTAAAGCAGAATAAAACAACCAAGATTTGAAGTAACTTGCTATTTTTGAAAAACATTTTACTTGTTGATTCAACGAAAGACTGCAAAAATTGCTTTCCATTTTTTCAACTTAGACTTCTTTAATTACTAGTTTGTGGTGTCAAAAAATTGCTAATAAATATGACGTGTGAATGTGCTGGGGACCACGGGTCGGCAAATCTACTGAATTGCTGGACACTTTTATATCCTTTCCAATGATTCGGAACAACCAGTTTAAAATCCATATTATAAGAAAGTTTCAGTAAAAATATTCCACAAATTTATAGAATAGCTTTCTTTGGAAGTAAACAAAAAACTTCTAAAACAAATTAACTAAGGGCAGAAGAGTGAAAAGCAAATAAATTTGAGTGTCTCTGTTGCTCAATTTATATACAAAGCTGCAAGGACATCGAAAAATCATACACTTGGATACGAATTGCGATGTGTTAGGTATATACATTGGATCAGGTAAGTATCTAAAAACTTTCATTATTATCAGAAACAGGTAAAATCGTACCAACGGTAATTGACAAAGAGAATGGAAACTAAAAATTATGAATGATGTAATCAAAGAACAAAATGGTAGAAGCAACGAAAAATAGACACTGTCTGCATTTCTCAACACAGCTGTTCACTCAAAATATGTTTAGATTCTATCTGAAAGATTTCTTAGAAAAACTGGCAAAATGGCTACATTTTCACAATGTTTTTAAAAAACGTTTTTCTGAAAAAATTAATGCTTCCGGTAAAAAGGAGAGTCCACCAAAACAATGTTGGTTCATAAAACAACATTCTCTGAAGGGAGGAAGTGGATGTACTATAAAATACACAAAAATTTGGTGTAATGTTCTGAGACATCTGGCAGGCATTGTTGATCAATCCTAAGAATATTGGTAGATTTGCAGATATGAAATTGTATGGCCTACAGCTGGCTGCTCGGAACAAAGCAACTACAGTTAACACTTCTACACCGTAACCCAACAATATGTTTTTGCCATATGTTGTTTGCCAAATATTTTTCAACATATGTTTCTCCCATATGTTTTTGCCAAGTGTTTTGTGCCAAATGATTTTGCCATCTTTGCCATCTGTTGAAGGGTAATGAGAACTTTCCATGGTACCCCGTTTCAACACTTCGTCTGCTTGGAATCTGATAACTTCGCCTGTCCATTCAAACGAACAAAGATTGCATGAACAATTATGATTGTAAACCATAATTGGGAACTACAGTGAAGCTATGATTTAGTTCCTGTCTTTTATGCTCAAAATCCTTTCACGCCGCGCAATGTCACTATAAGGGTCCGCTATAGGAATATCTGACTCGATATTTGCTTTAAGTTTTTCAAATTCTGATACAACAGGAGTGTCGTATTTTGCAACAACGATCCAGTTCTCTTTATTTCTTGCCTTTGCAACTCCAAGGCCAAACTCTTTTGCTGTCTTCCATACCATCTGAGCGAAATCAGAATTTTTCTTAGATACATAAGGGCTAACAAAATCAAATTTTGTCGATTCCTTCTGCCACAAATCAGCAGAGTCTTTTCCAACATTCAATGAATTAACTGGGACTAATGCAACGTTCATCCCCTTTGGTACGCTTTTCTTGCCCAGGTCCAACGAATTTTCGTCAGCCAAATCATCTGCTTCCTTCTGAGCTTCGTCTGACAAGTCATCAGACCAACGCAGATTAGGTGCATGAAATTTTTTCCTTATGAAGTTTTCTTCAAATATTGCCGCGTCTTTTACCTCGTTATAGTCTGGCAAATCATCGTCTGGTATAAACAAATTGATAAATTAGGACATAGATTGTAATCAATACACAGTAAGTTAGTCATTTATAACAAAATTTGGGGTTTTACCTGTTCCTTCCATGCATTATTGTCTTAATCAAAAACCGAAATTTCCTAAATAGTAACAGAAAAATTATCTAGCACATTAAAATACGACTTTCCGACGTTCTTAACTCTAAAAAGGTCCTGAATTTTGCCCATTTTTCCAATACTTCACGAGAAGATTTATTTAAGCTTAGACGAATTTTTTTCTGTAAACTGAATACATTTACCTTTCCCATGAATGCAACATTCACTTGCATTCACCTTCTTAATACTGTTCAGAACGACAGAAGTCTACCAACCATTACATCCAAAGACGTTTCCTGGGGGCATTCCAGGTCTAAGCAACATGCTACATGCTGTTCCTCTTTTAATAAAAAGCAAATATAAATGTCTTTTTGTATCAATCATCAATGATAACGATGGGATGACACTGACCATTTTCTAATGTTAAAAGCCAAGAATCCGATAGCAAGGTAGACTTACCTGGATCTGATTTGCTCTCGCTTTCAGAATGCAGCTGCACAATGGGTTTTTTCTCAGACTCAGCTAATTTTTCTGTATCTTTCTGTCTTTGCTTTCCACCATCTCTTTGTGTTGGTGTGACCTCGTGTTCAGGAGATGCGTTAACCTCATTGTGAAATGAATGAACATCCAATTCATCACTGGGCTTCGAATCACGAGCGCCATAGAATGATGAGATGATAGGGCGTTCGATAGAAGGCTGGTCACTTCCATACTTTGACAGATGCACGTGGTCTTTCATTTCACCTCCACTGTCACTGCTGAATCTTGATTTGTCTTCGTAACTTGGCCCTTTATAGTCGATTTCCTCTGTATTAAAAATAAACGGTCGATTATGCTGTTTCAAGTTGTTAATAAGATGAGAAACTCTATCCTGGCTAACATCTAATTGATCTCCTCCATTCGAATGAGCATGTTCCATCTCATACCCAGGCTCCTGATGCTCCATCATCCGTTCCTCTTGGTACTTTGCCGACTCCGGATACGCGTTCGCATGCTCCAATTCCCCATGTGAATGCTCCATTTCCCCATGTGAATGCTCCATTTCCCCATGTGAATGCTCCATTTGTGCCTCCACTTCGCCTGTCTTCTGCTCTTTCGATTCTTCTTTAGACGACTCTTGTTTGTGCTTACTCTCTGTGTAAGATCCCTCCGCTACGCTATGCTCCATTGCCTCCTGTTTACTCTCTTGCGAATCCAAAGGACTCTCTCTCCTCTCGTCCGTATGCGTGTCTTTAACAGCTGCCTCCATCCCCTTTAACTTTGAAGTAAGATCGCCTAATATCTTGAGCAGTTTGTCCTTTGCCTTTGTCCGCTCTTGATCGTCACTAAAGTGCTGTATTTTTTCTACACTACTAGCAAGAGTTACTTCAGCTGATTTTTCAGTTGGATTATCCCTTTCATTTTTCTGCTTTTCCTCATCAATTCTCTCTAACTGTTCAAAAAACTTATTTGAATCTTCACCTTTTGGCTCTTCTTTCTCCTTGCTTGGTTGCACCGCATCTGGTGCGAGTTTGGTTCCATCATACTCTTTCCCAATCCCTCTATTATCCCCCGTGAGTCCCACCTCCGCTGATTTTGCGCTCTCCTCATTTTCTGAATTCGATTTTCCAAAAAACGAACTGACCCTATGTGCCTTTGAAAACTCTTCAACGGGAGCATTCGCGCCAAGGGCTGGAGTCAACTTCTCTGAAAACTTTGAAGGCTCCGAGGGATGCTTTTGAAAGGTTTCTTCCACGTGCGATGGCTTTTCAAATAAAGAAGGGGCTTTTTGAAGCTTCAAACGTGCCAGCTCTTCTAACAGTTGTTCTTGGTTCTTATGCCGGGCTTGATTGACAAATTCTTTCAAACGCTCGTTTAGGTCCCCGTTTGATGTCCCTTCATCACTGCTTAATGTTCCTTCGTTATTATGCAACCTGTTAAATAGTGAATGTGCACGTAACCCAGCTACACTGCTATCCGGAGCCTGGACTTGTTTGTCCGATTCGAAATGGGGCATGGACGCACTTTGAAATCTACTGCCGAGAGCAGCATCTTCTTGGCCAAATTGGTTGGCTTGCTCATACTCCGACGAAAACTTTTCAATCTGCGACTGAGGATCTGCCGCTCTTTGCATTGATGGCGTGCTGGAATCATACATCCCAGGTCGATAGGCGTTACCTAGTCTATGCCTCGATGAAAAAGTGTTATCATCCCCAACCTGTTGGCCGTTCGTGTGCGATTTCCCTTCAAAAAAGCGAGCAGAATGGCGTCTTTCTCCCAACGACGGTGTGTCACGAACCTTGTATTCGGGCATGTCTTTCAGTGACATACCGTAAAATGTTGTTGCTCGATGCGTACCAGGACGTCGGTGATTGTAGGCGTGACCAGTACGAGATGACGTCGCTTCTGGCACAGGGGAATCATGTCCGTACTCTGGAAACATGGGCTGGGATTGCGGAGTGAGCTTTTGCTTCATATGAACAGGAATTTCGTGTCCATTCACTTCGTAGGTAATAAGAGCATTCCTGTCGTAAAAATCTTCAATTCCGTTGACATCAAAGACCTCTGTAAAACAAACGTATCTCATTTTAAACAAACCTACAAGTCTTGATAATTGGTAAAGAGAAAATCATCTGCCAGATTTGAGACTTTTTTTATTGATTGCTAGCAACTCTCAAGCAAGTTTGATTATCTGGATTTTTGTTTGAGAGGTACACATGATACCAACATATCACTCAAAGTCTGCTAAAATGGTCGGGATGGCAGGATATTACATTACAGTACAACTGCTGCAAAACTTAACAATGTTTTGCGTGGTAAAACTCAACGGCAAGCATAATTCGCCGACTTATTCTATCTACCAAAAAAGCATCATGTTCATCTATTATCGTTTGACGAAGGAAAACTGCTAATGCTTTATCAATTGACAACCAACTTACCTCCAGCTTCTGCCATGTCTTTATTGAAATTGAGGCCTTCGTTAGTAGAAATTATTTTCTTTACATAGGAATCTTCCATTGGATCAACATTTCTGTCTAGGCCGCTGTCACTATGCCAGGGACCTAAAATGGAAAATAGGCGAAGTGACTTATCTAATGTGCAGCGACACAGCCGAATGGGCAAATTAGAGGGAAAAGCAGTCAAACTCCCACTTTGAACAATTTCCAAGGTCATCAGGTGCGGATCCAGCCTGAATTCTGACCTACGCAAAGGTTGTCAGAAAGAGAAGCCACACCATTTTGTGTTGGAAATGCCCACATTTTTCTGAATTAAATCAGTATCACTGATATTGAATAGGGGGTTCCAAAAAGGAATTCTAAGGAAACGGCTCGCAAAAAGAAGCCTAAATTTACCTGCAATTCGAAGGATAAAGCTTTTGAGTAGCTCCATCCCGGTTGGATTCGAGACCAGCCCCCAGCCCCCAGCCCCCAGCCCCCCACATCCCGAAAGCAGAAGTCATACCACTACACTACAGAAAAAACACTGCAAGGTTGACTGACTTAGCTAGTAGTTCCTTAGCAGGGGTGAACAGTGATAGTCAATTCTCATTTCATTGGTTGCAACAAACAATTGCAGAGGTCCACTGTAAACAATTGCATAAGTCAACTCTGATTCCTATTGGTTGGCTGTACCGCTGCAGGGGCAAGCTCAACTTCTGACTTGTTAAATCAAATGTCACCTATGCTCGCGCCAAAGATTGCAGAGGAAAAGTAAACTCTGATTGGCTCACAAGACGTTTGCAGAGGTCAAGCAAGCGGAAATTGGCTCTCGAGAGACAAACAAGGTTCTGGATTCAAAAAATACGGACCAGATAAATGCCTAGAATCGCCGATCGACTATTCTGTGCAGAGGCCGGAAAGGTAGTCAGCAAAGTATATACCCTGCTGTCTTTTGCATTTTGTTGGTATCAACGGGGGCAGATCTAAGGCGGAAGTTGCTGTAGAATTTGCTAAGGAAACCATTGATTAAACATTTTTTGATAGTTTCCATTTTATTTTCTTGTTGTAAAAATTTGACTTTTGCTTCTGCATAGGTTGCAGTAGTCTGGATCCGCGTCTGGTCATGTCTACTTTTCAGTTCAAGGCGTAACTATGGCATTTTAAACCACAGAGACACACAGTCCAAAAAAAATTTAGTATCAAGAGGCTTTGAATAGGACTTACTTAAGAGCATCTAGCCTCCATTTTCTTGGTTTAAAAATGAAACAAAATAATCCATTGCTAAATTGGGATACAAAATTACTTTTATTCTAAAATTTATTCATTTTCTACATTTTTCTATAGGTTTGTTCCATAAGAATAGAATTCTCAATAAATAAAATGACATGAGTCTTCTGCTATTCCATTTGCTAAACAGCTCACACATTTTCCGTTCAAGATTTGATGTATTTATCAAATTACGAAATATTGGATGAAGACTGTGAGCGTCGAAAGGAAAATAGCTCTTAATGCATGCAAAAAATTATTCTACTTTTCTGAAGAGCCGGTGGACAAAAATTATTACTGAGAGCAAAGTATAAACAATGTGCAACCCTCAATACAGAATTTTCAGCAGATCGCTGGATGTTACCTGAAATTCTTATCGTTCCTTTTTTCTTCGCATCTTCAGTCGTCGCCAAATTAGGGGCGGGTCGTCCGGGATAAAAAGAAGATTTTTTCTGCTTGCTTTTCTCCCCATCCTTCGGCAATGTGACGATTTTTGCTTTCCTTGTTAGTGTGTGTGTTTTCTTATTATGTCTCCGGACGGGGTGTCCGTCAATGCTTGAGAAACCTTAAGGCAAAACAATCGCATTAAACCTTGAAGCTTCAAAGGCCTACACATGAGAATCAGTTTGAAAGGCGAGCCTTTGTTAACAACTTGGCTACCTTAGGAATATAAAGAACATGCTGAGACTAAAAGATGTCGGTGCAGCGAGAATGATAAAATTTGAAATTGAACGAATTAAATCGTAATTGAAAGCTTGATATTAAGGAAGAATTTGAAGGTCCTATTATTTCGATTCAAGCATATACTTAGAACCTTAAATCTTGCTTATATTTGCCCTACATTGGTTTTAAATACCTCAGACAATATTTTCACAAGTATGCTATCTATTGACAGGGACTATCAGATGTTCATAGATTACTTATAGCAGAAAATTTGCCGTAATTCTACGTTCTTACTGGATAATCATGCAAGATCTCTTTATAAGATACACACGCATATATAAGGCTTTTTGCTAATATTCTAATGAACGAGAACGACAATGATTGATTGCCATTACAACTGTACCCTTAAACCTACTATCAATATATACATGTAGGTATATACGTAAATGAAGGAGAAAATGAGCTCTATCCTTTGAGCACGTGAAATTTATAGGCTGGCTCACAGCAATAAAAATCACAAAATTTCATGTGCAGGTATATGCGATAAATCTCTTGCTACCTGTTAACAAAATGAAATACGATCCGAGACAGAAGACGACCCTCCAATCCATGGCAAAGCATCAAGTTTTCCACCAATTATCCATTAAGATCTTCTCCTGGTTATTTCGGTCATTTCAACTTTCTTTGTGTTTTGTTTACTTAACTGAACGACAAACTCTTGTCTATCAATATACGTGAACAAGGTAGCAACATAAAAATTAGACAGGAAAGAAATTGTTCTGAATTCACTGGTCTCCGAAAATCTTGACCGGGCATCGGAAGGTCACTGATCGGCAGGTGGTTCTATACAAATGAGAAGCAAAGAGTTGATGCTTTCTGGCAACTTTGAAATACAAGGGCACATCTAGGCATTGTTGATGGCTAATCAAACTTGCTTTGCTTACTCGCTCGTACTCCCTTTCAACAATCGATTTGTTTAGGCCAGTTTGGTTCAGGAAGGCAGTACGCCGATATTAGTAGCCATCCTCGTTCTGGAACTGCTCTGTTGTCTACGGTCGTCACATCTAGAGCTTCAAATGCTAATCTGCGATCCCTCTATCAAGTCCTTGGAATACCCCGCTGCTTTAGGCACTCCACCTCTCAAAATGAATCAGTAGGACAACAGAAAATAAACAACAGGGGCGCAAATTTGGGAGTGTTAGGGGGTTTCACACCTTCCCCCAATATTTCAAACCAGTCGGTCTCAGAAAAAGCCATTATTTTGAAAGTTGGTCCTTTCTATCTCTTTTAGACTGGGTAAGGGTACTATAGGCGAAAGAAAATGGCGGTTCATCGAAAAGCGAAAAAAACTGCCAAATAAGTAGGTCCGGGTAGCCGGTCGTAACCAATATGTGGCGCTTTCCTGTTACTGTTCCTATAATCAGTGCGGAATGACACCCCGGAAAGTAATTCGTAACTTGAACAAACGACAAGACCAAAAGGCGAATTCTGATGTGCCTTTGATGTTTTTCGCGAGAGAAGCACGTAATCAGCACCTCACAAGGCCAGAAAATGTAATTTTTCGACATATCTTTGAAAATTCAGTATGACAAGAATAAGGGTGCTAGAATTGAGCATAAGATTGTGTCAATAGAATAGAATACGACATAAATATTTTGTCAAGCTATAAAGAAAGATTACGAAAAACCAAATAAGAAGCAATCATTTAAAAATTAGACCCGGCCCAACTTCATGCCACACTCAGCGTATGCCTCTTGAAACCTAGCGTATTTACTCGTTTATCTTAATTGTCCTTTTTGAAGAAAATGGTAAGAGCTGGTGTCATTTAGTTTAGCTTTGGATGCACTTTATTCAGGTTTTACCTTTGAATGCACTTTGTTTTAGCGTTACTTCTTGTTATCCTATGCACCTAAAACTGTACGTTTGTAAAAGTGACCCGAGATAACAGTAGGACTGTACCAGAAGACTCAATTAAACAACAGAATTGTCTCGTTATTAAATTTCTTGGAGGCCAGCAGAGGCAAAGAAGACGCCTTGAAATCCAAACTTTCCCGGTGGAGCAGGCCCCTCTTGTACAGTTCGTCTTCAAAGCATGTCTGTGTATTCCTTGAGTGATGTGTCCTCCCAACAAAAGTTTTGTTCTGTTAGGTATAGTAAGTGTCTCATCCGAATTTGTTTTGTTGCACCTTGAGGCCTGGTTAAGCAAAACTAAGGTAAACATTTTATCTAGTGTCCTTACGTTTGTGAAATGACCAAATGACCGACACAGTTCAAAAAGGTTATGAGTTACATTTCCGGACGAGGAAACCAAGCTTCTATATTTCTTTAAACTGAGCAGTGACAATGTACTTTTTAAAGCATTAAAATTTAAACTGGCTAAAAAACTAAGGCATCGCTTTTTCTATAATCCTTCCAAAAAGAGTTCTCTCTTTCATAAATAGTTATTTCATAAAAAGTGCAATGGTTGCAGGGTTGTCAAGCATTTCCATGCTTCCTGTTGGTATCATTTTGTAATTAATTATTTGTTCCTGTAAATTTCACGAGAATATATAAAAAGTGCAAGACGAGACCTGGTTTGTCCAAAGACAAGGGACTAAAGAGGCAAGGAATTAAAAGGCAAGGACCCATGAGTTGACCCTCTATAACTTTGTTCGAAAATACTGCAACTATAAAACCTCAAAATATTATCGATGAAATACTGTACTTCCGTTAAACGAAAGACCAACCCCAACATCACATCCAAAATTTACTCACAAGAGTTTTAAAAACTGCTAGATTTCAAATTTGCTAGAAATGGGAAAAAGAACAGGCTTCATAGATAGAGACTGTTACTTGCTACCCAATTGGGTGAGAAATGAACTTTACAGAAGCAACCATTGTTTTGAAGTTTGTTTTAACTGAGCTTTGGCTTGGACCGCGATTCGATGCTGATCGACATTTTCAGTTCCTATATAGATTTTATTTTCATTTTGAATAATTTCAGTTCACGAAAAGATAGTTCTACAATAGGACTGAATAATAAAACTAGCAAAAAACAATATTGAATTTGGTTAGCAATTATCATATTTAAACGAATTTGTAATCTCATTTTCAAACCTTCTCACAGTGGGTTTATTCAAACGTAATCCAAAGGTTTTAGAAATTCAAAGGTTTTAGAATATATTTCAGAATTCACGTTATAATTCTAAATTGTTTGTAGGTATACGACATTCTGTAAACAACAAAGATTAAGATGCCATGTCTGTAAAAAACTACAGTGGGTTTAAAAAGGATGTGGATTGGTACAATCGAAGAAGCCGTACCTGACCCACTTTGCTATAAGCATCGATTGCCAACCAGAGCCCAAGAATGTGTAGAGATAAAAATCAAATAGGAGTAAGATACTTTCTTAGCAAAAAAACTGTTCAAGTCTGCTTAACAAGGAGATTGCTAGTCTTAAAGCACATTAACACTAAATTTACGCACATTGATTACTGTTTAAAATATTGCTCAAAGAAAAATACTTTAAAATTTGCATGACATTCTTCTAAGTACGTGCAAAATACAATATCATAAGAAGTACAAACTTCAGTGTGTCAATAAGGATATGGTTGAGTCCTTTATTTGTAAAGTGAAAATATACGCACAGATGACGACATTGCAACGTAGAGAGCGTCTTCGCAGTAACGCAAAGAGTAAACAGGACTGCTGTTTCTTCTTGGTGACGTAAAGAATGACTGCGGAGGAGAATTACAAACTGATTAGGAAAGGGAAATATTGATCACATTAGCTAGGGTCGCAAGATCAGAGAGAGCAAGGTCATGTTCGGATTTGAAGCCAGTTAAAAATGGGGGAGGGTATACACATATGAAGCCAGTAGAAAATACCCAATATTTCTCATTCTCAGATTTGCTACTGTCTGTAATTTCCCACGGAGTAAATCAAATTTCTTGAAAACTAGGTTTACATCTATGTTTACTGAAAAAGCACAATGACCCTTTAAAAGAGTAAAATTGAAACGTGTTATACTAACCAATTTTTTCATAGACGTCAGGTAAATACCAAAAGTTTTTATATACCAAATGGCGCGTTTGATTTCATGTTCTTGAGGAATCGGCGACAGCTCACCCGTTACGAGCTGTGTTAGAGGGTCATAAAATTACGACGTTTTCTACTCTAAAGGAGTATCAGTTGTGAAAAGTACTTTGAGGTAATTCTTTATACGGTTACTTCTTAGTGCAAAACCAAACTTACTCGAACTGGTGACGTCATACGCTTGTCCCATAGGCGAACCTGAAATATGAGAAGATAAATTATTGCATTTGAAGAAAAATCGAAGAAAATGACACTTATCAAGTTTCGCGCGTGAGTAAACTGTTTGCGTAGCTTGGCAGCTTCGGCACATTCTGGTTTGAGCAAAAGCAGTTTTCTGAATACAATCTAGCAAGCAAAATTAAGCATAGTCTATATTTAATCAAGAGTCTGGGTAGTACATTTTTAGACATAATAAAACGTTCTTTAGCTTCCATCTCAAATGTTATTATTTAATGAAACTTTTTCCATATAAAATGTGAATTGTAATAAACATTTTGCCGTTGTTGAAAATAATATTCGAAACTATTTTTAGAAATTGCTAACGTCAGCAAAATTAACTTTGAGTCATTAAATAATATGCTTGTTTTGATTCACTCTTTGTTTATGAGTTGGATTTTGGAAGCAATGAAGCCGGTAGCTAGAATTTGAGCACATTTAAATATTTTCGTCATAAAAATAGCTTTCTTTACTACGCATGCGCATAAATAAATATTTATTAATTACGTCATATTTAATGGTAAGCTGTGTATGTTTTCGCAAAAAATACGTACATAAAACTATGTTTCTGTTTAATCAAAAGTGAAATTTTTGCTTAATTGAAAAATATTGATGATGTCATTATGGCGTCATCATTTATTTGATTGACATGAAAATTTTCAAATCGTCATTTTAGAAGAAGATGATGATGTCAAGTCTCAACCTCCTATCTCTAACCATTCTAACCATTCAGCCCCCCCCCCCCCATTTCTTATTTGGCCAGAATCAGGAGCAATACTTATAACAGTTGTTATATCTAAGGTAAGTTGGCTATTTCTTGCTCATATACAAATCCTTGACCTAAGCTAAACAGCAAAAAAAGAATCTGGATAATCAAACGACACGTTTTCGAAGATTTTGGCTTTTGTAACATTTCTAGTTGTCGACGATGTAATTGAACGTGACGACAGTTAAGTGAAGTGCACATTTGTTGACCCAAGAATGCTTGCCTAAATTTTCTGCATAAAAACTCGTTGTTCGGACACTAGGGTGGCTTTAACATGTTTTTCTTGATTTCATTGATCTAGCCATTTCTTGCAGACGATACACAGATGGCAGTCAGAACATGAAAGTACAAAGACAGAGTTTATTGAAAAAGCCACGACAAAAGAAGGATAAATCGTCAGTCGCTTCAATCAAGAGCAGTGATATGCCTGGACTATTTATGCTTGTTCTGCTAAATGAATTTTTCTGTAGAAACTTTCGAAATGTGTACATTAGATAATAGAATGAAAGCTGAAATCAAATGTTTACTTAACAGCAATAAAAATTCATTCGCACTTATTGTTGCCCATGTCGTTTTAGCAACAAAGGAGAGGCTAGCAAAGGAATTACTGCTAGTGCTGAGGGCAGATTGGCAGAACATATGGTTCAAGAATGTATGGTGCTAGCTGATCGTAATTATGTCAAATCTATAGCATCTTCTTACTTTTCAACAAAAGAAAGAAGTAGAAGTCTAAAAGTGCTGCAGCTTCTGCTAAGAAGTATTTCTGCAAGCATCGACAAGCTGAAGAATACCAGAGTTATTAGAATTTTATCGGGAGACAAAAAGGTCCCTCAACAGTTGAAGACATATGTAAAACAAAACCTATAATGTAAATGAACGTTGCTTATTTCCGTAAATGTAAATCGTATTAATTTGCACTTATATGAAAAAGGTAGCTGTTAATGAACAGAATATTCAACAGCTGTAATTGGAATGAGATTCTGCTTTCAGTTATATTTGAGACGGGGGTGAGCCTCGATCAGTTTTTCTCCTTTACGCAGAACAGTGAATGCTCGGTATAAACCCCGTTTTTCCAGGAAAATGAGAATAGATATTCAACTGATTTTTGCTGTAATTAGTAGCTACTAGTATGGTGATATCTGTAATAGGAATGAGATTCTGACTTCAGTTATATTTGAGACGGCGGCTGGGCGGTTCTTCGAATCTTCGACCTACTCGCGAACCCGAATCTGAATCTGCAGACACGGAAGTGATTGTACTAATTTGTCACGCTTCGCTAATTTCGAGAAACCTCGAGATTCAACAGACAATTGCCGATGAACAGCGGGACGCACTGCCTTTAAATGACATGCACACAACATAAATTGTGAGATGCATCTCCTGAGCTTTATTTCTGCTGCAACTTGAGATTTCCACAAGACCAACAACATAAAAGGATGGCAAGCCTCCTTCAGGCAGCTTCATTGGGTATACTAATTTCTTGCTTCGGAATTTCCCTAGCCAGAGTAAACTCCGGAGATCCAAAGAATAACCTCCTTACAAAAGCAAATCAACACAGATTCACCTTCAGCGTCTATCCAACACCCGCAAGTACATGGGGACAACCTAAGAACGTAGCTGACGAGCATCAAAGCATATTCGCTACTAACTGGCAGTCTTTTGGAGTTTATACGCGCCCGGATGCTGAAGGAATAGCTTATTTACAAGTGGATTTAAAGACACCGTATATAGTGAGATCCTTTGCGGTGTCTGGATACGCAGGTGGAGGCCATAAACCTACAGGATCTTTCTTTCTCGAAGGCTCGAATGATGGCACAAGTTGGAAGATGGTAGCTCTGGGAAACAGCGATCAATGGCACGCTCCTGGTACATATCCATTCCTTCGAAGGCAGATTGTCGATGCATTATACCCAGATAATTATCGATATTATCGTGTGATTGCAAAAGGTTGGACCCAAAAACAAATGTTGATCCAGAACCTTGGACTTTTTTGCTGACTTTGTGTAGCAGCCAGACGGTTCCACACCCGTATGAGACCGTATGAGCTCTTCTAAGCTGTATTTGAGTAAGCTGATTAGTATGTTATTTAGTATCAGGGCCATCGCGAGGCAAGCCTGGTTGGGGTGGGGGGGGGGGTGATTGGTGTAGACTACGAATTTACCTGATTCAATGACCAATACATTTTGCAATACATTTTGTCAATCTGACTCTGTGGCATATAATTCGAAACTTTCAATCATGACGTACTTTCCTATCAGTTTTGTCAAATCTGTATATCGGGACGGACAAAGGGTATAGTTTCTACCTAAGGCGGAGAACTAGAAAATTTTGAAATTTTGAAGCTTTCAGTTCCCTGGAAAAAGTACACTTTTAAGTGAATTTTACTAAAGCAATCCTCCTAATCCTATTGAAAATTATTTCATTTTTGCAAACGGATTGAACAGCAGATTAAAACAATTGGTATAATTTCACCGTGGTCTTGAAAACAAGAAGCACTAGTTGTCAATTTAGATCATTCTTTCCATCTTGTCATTCATTTTGAATGTAAAAAGAAATCTGGAGCTCATTGTGAATTGCAATTGACGCTTCTATCGGGCACCTTTAGGTATAATGGACACAAGGCACAATTTTACCTAAGAAAGTCCGGTTTTTCGGATTTAGTGCCAGCAACAAATCCTGAGATCATTTTCGCTTAGCTCGTTTACCATCATCAAGGAATATCACGTTTAACTAACGGAGCAACTACCTTTGCTTGATCCTTTATTGACTTTAAGACGTAAAGGTCTCTGACTGAACTACCTAAACTGTTTCTTCCACCGAGCGTATTTTACCTGAAATTTCCTATTGAGATACTAATGGGGGTGTGACACCCCACAACCCCTGCTCACGACGCCCCTGTTTAGTATGCTTTGCTTTCAGATTGATAGTTTAATGAAATACAAAGCTCTCGAAAACCTTGACTGTCCTTGGCTTTACAATTCTTTTTAAAACTTTTTACCTCCGGGTCGAAAATTCTATATCTGTAGAAGATAGATTTCATCAAAGACACTCTACTCAACATGTACGAAACTGGGCCTTGACTGACGCAATTGGCTTCTGATACTTAAAACTTTTACTTTGTTTTAGAATTTTACTTTTTTGGACTATTGGTTTATTTTAGATTTTTATCTTATTTTAGACTATTTCTTTTATCTAAAATCAAAAGCCAGTGTTGCAGACAGCTAGATCTATACAAGAGCTTCACTTTAGAGATTCTCAAATATCCTCATGCTTTCAGTGCAAACTTTAATTTATGCACCTCCATATTTAATATAAAATTTCTTCCCTGCTATAGAAATAATGGGTCAATCAAGGAAACTAAAATAGAGGATAAAATTACCATAGAGGATATTTAGGTATAAAAAGTTTTGCTTTTGGCATTCAAACAGGGAATAATTGGAAATTAGGGTTACTACAGAAAATCTAAGGTGGGATCTCGTGAAATGGAAAGATCAAGTTGGCTGGTAACGCATAGTTGCCAACGATTTGATTTAATGGTGTTTTGCTTGAGACCACTTATGGCTGAATCATAAAAAGGCATTGCTCATTTAACACATCTGAAGGCACAGCACTGAATACAATCCTGAAATAAAGCCAATCGCTTTAACATCTTGAAAGCAAAACAATTTATATTGGGTGTAGAGATTCAAAGATATTGATTGTAAAGTACAAATGGAAATTTGAAAATAGGTTTAAAATCAAGGACTAAACTAAAATATAGAAATGAGGCTTCTGTTTCTAAAAAAATGAATTTTATCAGCAAGATAACAGAGCGCAAACTTACAACTCCATGACGACTGGTGCCACTGACAACCATCCAGTCTTTATTTGAATCAAAACAAAACACTGCGTTATCATGTGGATCATACAAGGCTAGGACACACCGCCTGTGGTAGCAAAAAGAGCTTGTAGATAAAACATAATTAGTTCAGGGAAAAAGGGGCATGTATTTCATTCATATTTAGATATAACACAATTATAGTCTGGTTGATTGTATAATGCATATAAAACATATATAATTTGTTGATTCTCATTCTCCTTTCTAACATTTGCTGTCAAAATGAACTAGCTATTTTTTAACAACAAGTGAAGAGGGCATTGATTTTCTAAATATTTAAAGGGCAAGCAATGTACTTTATGCAAGGTACCTCTATCACCAGTATGCAATGAAATAAAAAAGGCCAGGCATGAGTCCTAACAAATGTTAAGAAATACCTTGTTCTTAAATCCCAAAGCCGAATAGTTGTGTCATATCCACATGAAAGCACAGTGTGCGCATCTTCCAGGGCAAGCTGAGTGATGCCAGCACCAAGGCGCTCTGTTCCGCTGCCATTGCTAGTCAGATCACAGACTAACCTACCCCTGAAAAGTTTCAGAAATATAAAAATTTGGTCTACAGCAATAAAATTGATGTTTTAAATTGAAATTAACATTTGAAAAAAGTTCAGTAATATCAAAAAGTAATAAAAAACAACTTGAAAAGGCAAGGACTTGCTCAAATAGCTAAATAAACTCATCAAATCACTTATTTCTAAAACAGTAGGACTAATCATAACTTGTTGGCTTATTGAAAACCTAGACAATCTTGAAAGGTGCCAGTCTATTCGCTATTCTTGGTCAAAGTATACTAGCTTAAATTTGACATCAGAATGGTAGATAAGAACTCAGAAACATGATGATAATTATGGCTAAAATATTTTTTTTGTTTTAAAATAGTACAGCAGAAAATTATAAATTATGTATGATAGAACCCTATTGCCCCCTAGTTAGCACCTAAAAGCAAGCAAAAATCCTTATGGTAGTAATGACAAGAATCTAATGTTGTGTGATATGGTTTCAAAAAAATTGAATTTAGTGTACACTAGTATTTTGCCACAGCATACAGGGCTTCATTAGAGTCAAGTCTAACAAAAATCTTGATACCTTTAGAGATATTACGAGTAAATATAATAATAACTTTGACATATGGAGTAGTTCAACATGATTGTATTGAGCTTGAAACTCAGACCTAGATCCATCATGTTCTATACATCCATGCATATGATGGAAAACCTTACATAAAGCATAAATTACCTGTTCAAGTCATACGTCCTTAAAGCTCCATATTTGACATTATGTGCAGACATCCCAACTATCACATGGCTAAAATATAGCAGATTTAGATCAAAACATTTAATTCTTTAAAATAGCACTTCTTTTCAACGATAAAACACTAGAAATTATTTTGAATCACTGATAACTACAACATAAAAAGTAGGGGTGTACCGGATCAGGATTTTCATAATCCGGCCGGAACCGGATTTACCAAATTTCTTCACGGAATATCGGGCCGGATTTTACCGGATAATCTGGCCATTTATGGATTTTTCAGTAATAAAAAGTTTTTGAGCCACTTTGCGAAAAAATTTATAGCGAGAAGATCAAAGAGACCCATTCAGGGTTGCCAGATTGAATTTACAAAAACGAAGGCTAGACTGGTGAGCAATTTAAGCCAAAATGCTCATAAAAAGGCAAAATCCAAAACTTTCCCAAGAATCCAACAATCCCATTCTTTGTATTTATACTTTTATAACTTGTTTTCTCTAGAAATTTTCTTAGTTATGATTGAAATTCTGGAAAATCCAGCAACTGGCCGGATTTTGAAAACAAATCCGGCCGGAACCGGATTTTTAAAAAATCAGCGATCCGGCGCCGGATTATCCGGCCTACCGGATATCCGGTACATCCCTAATAAAAAGCTCCAAACCTTTTTAGTCTATTTAAACACAGTGATCTGACTTGATCTTCCAAATCAATGGAGTCCAGGCAAGTGTAATCCCAACTAGACCATACCTTAAAAAATAAACCACACTATGTCAAAATTACAAATTTTTAAAGAATATTCAATTTTCATTACACATCTTACATAAATGCATCCAGCATACTGGTAGCACAAGCACATCTTTAAAGATTAGGTTTAATAATTAAAAGGCATACTATTGTAAGATTAATTAAGGGTCTTTAGTACACAAGATGAAATATTTCCAGAAACTTTTCTGAGAAAGGACATCAAGACTTCTGAATGATATAAATGTTAAGGTAGTTGATAGGCCAATAGTTGGTGACTATAGGGTGGGCATTTTTTTGCAATATCAGCAAAGTACTTTCTTTCATAATGGCCTTGATACTAGGAATGGAGAAACATAGAATATATTCTAAAAAGATAAAATCTTTTATTCATAAATTGTTTGTTTGGTTACTTAAATCTTCCTTATTACTTTCTATTTAACCTTTAGTTTTCTTTCAAATTTAATAATAACTTTGAAGCTCTTATTAGACGGTCACCACCAGCTGCTCCATCACTCACTCTTTTCTATCTTTCTAGTCCTTCTCTTCAAGTTCCTCCTAACAAGTTAAGATAACATCATCTCAGGAATAAACACTTGCCTTAACATTGAATAAGCATACCTTAATACTTTCGTCTCTTGAACCTGACACTATTACTTCCTGGTTAGCCTGGATGCAGTTAATGTTACTTTGGTGCCCAGAAAGTTTGGCAACACGCCTTGGCTTCTTTTTAACCGTCCAAACACAAACAGTTTTGTCCAGACTGGCAGAGTAGATGAAATTGCCAACTTTTGTGAATCTGGTAACATCACTGGTATGACCACTTAGCTTTGATAAGATGCACCTGTCACCACCTTGATGCTTCATAAGCTTGGTTGATGAATATGAAAATATTTCTGTCCCTTGTGAAACCATCAAGATGTTCCCTTGATTGTTTAACCAGATCCATGGCATCAGGCTGGAAAAAAGGTGTCATTTTTTTAAAGTTGCTATAAATTCTACCAGCCCTTGAATTTACCCAAAAATGTGTCAACATTTTTCGGGATCATGGGAAAGAAAACTAGCCAGCAAAGCATTGAGCATGGCTGCTCCAGATCTGGCAACTAGGGTTAGGGTTCATATGCTAATCATTAAAACCATACTTTTCCATAACATTCTGAAAACAAGATCTTCTTCCATCGTCTTCAGCAACCTCTAAATAAAATATTAAAGAAGAAAGAAACCCTATCAAATTCACAGCAATACTTTTCAACCAATTTTCTTCTAATGAAAAGAAGCCCCAGCGCTAGGCCTTGGTTTAAGAAGCCTCAGCTCATCAAAGGTCAGCCAAGCTCTAAGAACACATTGTGTTAGCAACCCCTTCCCCGTTATTAGAAATCAACTTCTAACACAGGTGGCTGAAATTATGTGGGCCAGAGAGCCAGGTGTCTCAGACTATGTTTTGACCATGCCGGCAATCAAGACGCCCTTTTTCAAAGGTCGGCCTGAAATAAATTGGGAATTGGAGTTTTTAATTAATTTTTATGGTTATCAAAACCAACACTATACATTTGTCCCAAGTCTACATTATTTTCCCTTTTCAACAAGAAAACAGACTCAACATATCAGGGGTTTGAAAACCCAAATTCCCCAACTAGAAGCAAGTAGGATGAGGATGGAGCCCTACATGCCCCCTCCCTGTAATTTCAGGAACTGTTCGACCAACAATCGGGTTGTTACCCAAAAAACAACCTGCTAATAACTGAAGGACCATGGTCCCAAGCTTTTTTTGTGTAGCTCCTAAGACTATAATTTTTCCACAACCACTGAGAATTTCTCAAAGTCCAACCTTCACTTCAAAATATCCTTGGGACTATACCTCACCACCAAAATCCTAAATAATTGGTCTATAATTTGACTATTCGTCATGTAATTTCTAATTCATAAAATTTGTAGGAAAAGGGCATGATGCCCATAGTTTTAGAGGGCATGGAGAAAAGGCTTAAAAAACTACGACAAAACCCTTCTATAGGGGCGCATGCAAGGGATACAATGACTTGGAAGCTTTTTGTACCCCAGAAAGCATGTATCAAGGGAAATAAACACATTTTTTGCTTTGAGAAAGATATCCTTTTTAAAATCTGAAAAATTAGGTAACAATAATACCCTTGGAAACTGATATATAAGACAGCTAAAACATAATTGTAGCCTTGAGCCAGAATGCTGTCACAAATTTAGAGTGATGCTTTGGAATAATACTTTGAATTTAAAACAAATTTAAACAGTTGATGCAGAAAACAGGCCTACTTTTTAGGTGCTAAATTCATCGTGACTACACACTCCAGGCTTCCAGCATTCCATTTCTTTCCAAAACAATAAACCTCTTTCCATGACTTCTTTAATCTAAAATAAAAAAAAAGTTGTTGCAAATGCTACAATAAAAACAAATCAGTGCATCTAATGAAAAATGGTTTTTTAATATTTTTGCTTTTAAAGGTGCATGAAAATACAAAACTATATATTGAGCAAAATTTATTTTGCTAAGATTGCACATACTTGTTGAAGATTTTTAGATTGTATGGTTAGGGTTAGCTTTGCCAGGCTAAAATCCTTCATGCGCTGACAGACAAAGTGTTGGGGGAGAAGCACCCACCCAGTACCCCTTTTGGTGACACCCCATGCACATAAAAAAATTTCATGCGTGTGATTCACCCTCTTACCTACTTAGTTCCATTTAAATTGTTAGATCAGTAGAGAGTTCATGAAAGTAAAATGAAACTTTTATTTCAGAAGAACAGTGTCAAACCATTTTTTGTTTCATAAGACTGTCACAATTTTCTTCACTTTTTGAGCTTGGTTCCCAATAATCTCAATTTCTCAATTCTAGCCTTTTTTAAAGCCTATGAATTTCAAAAAAATCAATTCAGATGAAAAATCCGAAGTTTGATGAAATTTGGCCGCAAGTGAACATCAATGCAGAACAAAACAAAAATGCAAAGCAAAAAAATATATTTCCACATATAATGTGTAACGTTATGCCAAAAGAATCTCAAAATTTCCAGTGATTGAACATGAAACAAAGTAAAAGATAGCAGACAATGGAAAAAATCAAATGCATATATAACTTTTTACAGGCAAAGCCATTTTCATCAAACTAGTATTCAACAAATATTTAAACTGGCTAATATTTAACCGATTGCGAATACTGAATTTTGTTCGGCTGGCCGAATTCAGCCGTGGACTGTGAAACTGTGAAATATTTGGGCGCCAACCATTTCAAACATCTGGCAACCCTGATTAGGTCGTAATATAAATGAATTAGGAATGTGATGAATGAGCAATCAGACCTTTTTTGACCCAATTTGAAACTTTTATTCTGATGTTGAAAAAGAACTGATGCATTTGTGAAGATTCTAATGTGTTTAGTTTTTGACTGCGCTTATATCGTAAAAGCTCTATTAGCCCAGGTGGCTTATTCGTTTTTTCAGTCCTAGAGGGGGGGGGCGTAAAAGAGAGGGGGCTCATTAGAGAGGGGGCTTTATCCAGAAGCTTTTCCCAATTCCTTTCAAGAAGAAGACTGTTTATGTTATCATTTAACTCTGCGCCTGAGATGCGCTAGAAGTTCAACTGACTGACTGACTAACCATTCAACTGACTGGCTTCCCTGAGTCAAAATCAACTAGGTTTCATCCACACTTACCCTCCTGTCTTCGGTTTGTAAGTGAACTGACGTGCAAACCCTTTCCACAAGGAATCACTGTTAGCTAAAGCACGTAAACGCTTGCAAACCAGACAGAGTAGCGCTAAGTCTTGCGGTTGCAGCCAAAACAAAATTTGCAGGATCGCATCATCAGGTAAGGACTCGAGCGTCAACACATCGCCTTCATTTTCAAAGTTTTCCGCCTTCTTGTTAACGGGATAAGATTCCATATAAATCTCAAGCTTACTGGAGCACCAAAAAAGAAACTGTTAATTTCAGCTGGTATATCTTTGCCCTTCATTTGTACTAAATTCAAGGACAGTTTTTTCGTTCAAATTTTCCCGACGTTGACAACACAGAACTTAGGCCAGGATGGACAAACCTCGATGTCAATACAAAATTCAACCCAGGCCTCGTTTTACATCTGCAAGAAGTGATATCATTTTTGTACGCGTCTACTTTAAATGCCCTTCCTGTCCCCTGCAAACAATATTGATAGTTTCATATTTATAGATAGTTTAGTCAACAAAATCACTGAGGCAGTTCGTGAAGCTGGTTATCTATCTATCATCCTTACGCGAATACTCAAGTATCATACTTGTGTGAACTCAGCATTTTTGGGCCAAAATCATTGAACGCAACTAAACACCCCCAACAGGCTAAATACCCAAATACTGCCCAGGGCCCGTGCCACCGATTCTGAAAAGGAGGGGGGGGGCCAAAAAGAAGGTTACCTATTTAATGCTTAAAAGGAGAATGTAATACCTATAGTTAGCAAGAAAAGTGGGAGCCATGCTCCCATCCCGCTCTGTGGCGTCGGCTCTGCTGCCCCATTAACAGCAGGCTAAAAATCCCTTTAAAACATCCCCTAGCTGTTTCCTGGCACGCGAAAATTGTTCATTTTTCGTTCTCCCTGTCTTCCAGTGGTGTCGCCCCGGACTTCTCCACCCCAGTTTTCCCAGAGGTCGATTTTCTAATTTTTAAAAATCAGTTGAATAACCTTTTAATTTTGATCAGGTCAATTTCGATTTTCTTTTTTGCAAAAAAGCCCCAGTTACAAAATGTGCTGCTTGGGAAAACTGCTTTTCCAAAAAAAGGAAATAGATCAAAAGTACTAATAATGTTTTCTTCCACGTTTTCTGAGAGTCGAAGGGTGTGGTCGAGAATTTTTGTGCACATCAGTTTTTCAAGCTGTTGACGCCACTGCTGTCTTCTGGTGAAAAGTTGGGCCTTTTTAACAGATATATTTTTCGTATCTAAACATAAATAACTTGTTATTATAGTTTTGTTATTGTTATTTTATAAATAGCTTTATCACTGCTATTAGTTCGTTGCGTGTCCATGCTGCGACTTATATTTGTTTAAATCCAACTGAACTAAACTAAATAAAAAGGGGCACTAGGCCAATTAGTCTTCGATATTGTTGACAACCACTCAAACAACTACTGAAAATGTAACAATTACTTCTCATCAGAAAAATCTGCAATATCTTGTTTTTAAACTTCAGTTTTCTCAAAATTACCTAATAGGAGAAAACTTTTCGGCCCCTCTCTCTGATTGAATTGTATGACTGCACAGTTTAAAAATTCAAAAACACGAGGTTGAATTATTAAGATTTAACATTGCATCTTGTTGGTATAGATAATTATGCAACAATATCCAACAAAAGCACTTGAAAATGCATCTGTGCCCATTGCCAGCAGTATGCCTGTAGTATCAAATACATCGGTTGCAATTCATGCGGTGTGGAAGATAGAAACTGTATATCCAGTTGTCGTTTGGATGGTTTTGTTGGTTTGAACTGGCTTTCATTTCTTATACAAACTTAACCGTTGGAATAAAACACGATTTCTCGCCAACATTGGCACAAAAGCAGAGCGTAGTTTAAGCTCTTTATCATTTATTCCCGGCAGGGAACTTCCATTATGGCCTAACAGAGGATTCCATTCAGGGTCAAATAGGGCCAAGGCTGTTAAAAAATTGCCCTTAAATGATAGTCTTTTTGACAATAACCCTCGAATGATAGTCTTTTTGACAATAACCCTCGAATGATAGTCTTTTTGACAATAACCCTCAAATGGTAGCATAAGGATGGAAACTTTGCCCTTTGTAGTATCTATTTCCTTTTGCGTGCCTGGTCTTTCTTTGACAAATTGTTTCGCCATAGACTATGGTGGTTCGGGATAGATGAAAGCTTGTTCATTATCTTTAATAAATCGCAAGCTAAACTAAGCCGTTGTGTTATTATCGAAACTGGGCCATTTGGTAGTCATTTGGTAAGACCCTCAAATCGACTGGATTTAATGGGAGTGCCCCCCCCCGGACATTTCTCCAGGGCCAGTTACAAGTTTAAATATTGCGATATCTGCATGTTAGATGCGAAGATTTGGTAAATCTTGCACTGCATGGTACTGAAGGGTGAGCAATAGAGCCCTAAAAAAGAAGGGTGACAAGCTGTAAGATCGTGCTTGTTTATGTCTTAACAGTGTCATGGTAGCAAACCTTACCACTATTCTTTACGTCAGGAGAAAATTCTAAGCATTGTTATCAGCTAAAAAATTAAGTAAAAATGTGATTACTGTTACGCTGTAGAATTGTAAGAATTATATTTTAGAAAAATAGCAAGACAGGACGATACAAATCCCTATTCTTACGGACCAACGAGTGCATGTAGAGTGACGTAGGAAGGGGATTGCCGGGGACCATCACCCAAGATATCAACCAAGCTGGTTTACTTAATTTTCAAGCAAAAGCAGACAGGAAGAGTAAGAAAGAGTGTCTGTTGAACATTTTCAACGGGCCAAGGTAGCAAGATTTTATTTTCACCATTGCTATTTGTCACTCAGATTTTAGCGCCTGGCAACTTCTTTAAGAAAGATTTGTCTACGAAAGAAAGATAACCTTTTGTGAATTACTTTTTGTGACTTTACTTTAAGCGTCTATTCATTAAATTGAACCTCTAAAAATGTCCAATATCATTAGTTTTTCCTTCATATTACTATACTATAAATACCAAGATAACGGCTTACTGGTCCGGTATGTAGTGCTCGATGCCATACATGCACATCTGTATACGCGTTAGTGTATAGAACAAGACGGTTTTAAACTTTAACGCTGAATTGCAACGCTGAACTGCACGCTTATTGTTATAAGTGGAGGATCAGGCAACCAGTTCCTATTGCCTTATACTAATAAAAAAATTTTTAAAAAAATGAAAAATGAAATGAAAAAAACTATAAAAATTAAAAAAAATTAAAGGAAGTGAAAAAATAAAAAATTAAAAAAAGTAAAAAAAATAAAAAAAATGAAAAAGAAACAAAAAAACGGAAAAAAATGAAAAAAAATAAAAAAAGGAAAAACCAAAAAAATGAAAGAATTTAAGAAAAGAAAAAAAATTAAGGGTGCAACTCTGTTTTGATACCTAGAATCGTTCGTTCAACACATCAATGTATACTTAAAAATGTAACGACATTCATAGAAATTGGCTTTTGAATTTTGTAATCTTTATTGACAGCAAAATAACATTAGAATACTGCCTTACTTAGTAAAAACTTGCAGTTGTTAAAATTAGCTGAAATTGAGTTAAAAATTATCTCGCGATAGATGCCTGACCAAATGCAAGCAAGAAATCTTGGTCAATTTTACACATTCGCTCTGACACTCCAGCTAAAACTGTAGTGACGTCAAGTACAGGCTGGGTACTTCTCTTAAACAGACTGGGTACCTCATAAAGGTGATTAAAACACCCAACCCCATCTTGAACTTCATTTTAGCAAGGCCTTTGACGTGATAACATCAGATGCAAAAGGAAAACTAATTTGCTCTTTAATTTTATAACTGGTTCATAAAAACTCTCCTAGCATGAGCCGATAGCTGGAAAAGTTGTTCAAAAGAACAATTGAAAAAACTGTCATCCTATCTTTTTGATCGTTTTCCAGGACCTTTGGACAATTGACCTGATCAAAAAGTAAAAACTAAATGTCTTAGGATAGTTGTCCGTTGCAAGATCAGTTGCCTCAAGGACACTCTTCTTAGTCTCAAAGAACTTACTAAAATTAAGTTGGAACTAAGGCTAAATGTCTGATGACCCCTGTTGACTTTTACCAAAGACTCTTCTTGTTGCATCTGGCCAACTTTCTTTGCTTTTTCTGTTTGGTCTTTAAAATAAACAATTTTGATAGTCTCATTTTGCAAACAAAGGCTAGCTCATTTAGACAACGTAACACCAGCACCGTGTGGCATGAAAACCCGTACGTCAAATATGCAAATGATGCTGCTAGGAAATTCGATTAGAAAAAAGTCTTCTCAGCGAAGACAAAATGTTTTACCATCATTTAAACCTACCACTTCAATTGACTAATCGAGTTAATTTTTATATACTGAATGTTCTTTTGGGCGGACAAACACGTCCACTGTTTTGTTCTATACTGAGCGTTGTTTCGGGTGGGTAAGCAATCGAAAATTTGGATACACGGCAACACAACCTTGCCTCATCTTCCAAGTAAAATTCTTTATAATTCATCAGTGTGGTTTCAAGTTCTGCAACGAACTTTACTTAGCTTGAGTTCCGATATTGAGAGGAACATTTTCATGTACGGCTACCAAAGAAGAAAGCACGCGAAATTCTTCGTAACAGATTCCTATTCAACTTCTTTGAGGATCCTCAGCTGCTGGGAGAACGACGTTTCTTCCGAGCCGCGATGGCGTCGCGATCCCAAACGTTGAGCGCAATCTTTCCCTTAAGAAATCTCCTATCCGTCTCACTTTGTTTTGCAAAAAAGACTTTGTTTTCTGCACAAGAAAAATGCAAATCAGTGGATCGAGCATATGCGACAAAGCTGGGATTGGACCGAACACCGTGCGGGTCTCCGTCAATTGCAAACCTTCATAACCAGCCTCAAATAGAAGTTCCAAGATCACAGGGGGAAGGAAAAGAATTATATTTTTAACTGGAAGAACTAGGGAAACGAAGGCTACTTTCAAGTTGTTTCGCTGCACGACAACTTCCCCACCTGCCTGGTCATTCATCACCGTTCTGCGTGCGAGTTTGTCGCGCTGATAAGCCGTGTGACCCATCAGCCACATGAGAAGGTTTACGGTCGCTAAAAGGATGACATTGCTGAAATAAAATATAACAAAAACAAGTCCAGAATACTTGTTCAGCGGATAAACAGGATAGCCAGAGGGTGTAAGGTCATCTAATAGGCTGCCAAGTGAAATTGAAATGTATGAAACCATCCATATTATAATTATGGACATTGAAGTCTTAAAAGTCGTCACTGTAAGCTCGCATGTCAAAGGAAATCTGCAAGTGAGGTAGCGAAATATGGTGAGGGCAGCGCAGCCAATGAAGTTGCACGACTGCGGGGCCAGCCAGAAGATTGCGGCGAATTTTCTGCTGAGATGGCATCTATGGTTGGTAGTCGTCGTAACAAATGTTATGGCAACCATTGGCAAGGTGACTACGCATGCCACTAGACTCGAGATGCTGATGCTTGCTAGCAGCAAACTCTGAATGCGGAGCAAATGAACATTCGAGGACCGTGTACGGTACAGCGCAAAGCAATGCAGAGCGTTAAACGCTGCTGCCAGACACAAGCAAACAGATATGGCCAATGTCGGATAAAGATCGACGCCACAACGGCCCGGAGAATGGACGCTTGTGCTGTTAAGTGGAGCATCCATGCTTCCTCTCTAAGCAGCGACACGAAAGAAGACGGATTCTTCACTTAGCTCCTTTCGGCTGGCCATAGGACCACAATATCCTCGCATAATCTCAAATTTGCTAAACTAATTTTGGATTTTACTTATATATGAGAACTCCTGTTCGAATTTACAAAGACTTGTCAGCGTTCAAATGCTTTGCTTCAGAAATTTTCTTACTTCTTGAATAACTAGAGAGCACGTCAATTCTTCGGCTGTTTCACTGAGCTTCTGTCTGCATTGGATCTTCTCCTTCTTATCAAAAACAAGCTTCTGACAGCGTATTTAAAAACGGGATAATTAGCATCAGTATCGCAACAAGGAGTCCTTCGTTATTGACGACGGAATAACAAAAATGCTCTTCAGCGATTGGAAATGCTTGATTGCCGCGGATAACACACACTTTTTTGCTAATGTAGAAACATCAGTGGAGAAAAACAGCTTCTTGATGACTGAGATATTCAGAAATCTCTACCAAAAAACAGCGTTTGAGGTAGAGAAGATACTTCAAATCTAGCAATGCAGACACACTCGTTGGAACTTGGTGAACAAATCGACGCAGAGTACACGTGCAGTCACTTAAGGACAGCAAATTTTCTTCTGAAGTCGCACTGAAAATATTTGATAAATGATAGAAACTATTTTGAAAACGACAAAATGAGTTGTAAAATATTTATGGCTGAAAGTCAAGAGTACACGGCAACAGTATCATAAAATTATTTGAAGCAAAGGTATTTGAAAAAGCAAAAAGTCTTGCAGAAAAGATACTTTAAATTTGTCGAAGCAAAAACTGAAAAACATATCAAATACTATTGTGTATTCTTAGCATTTTGTATTAAAAATTCTCCACCTCCCTTTCCAATTCACAACATTAAAAAAATGTCAAGTTATCAATCAACTGACCACGCCGGTTGGGGCCTCGTGGCAGGCGCAAAATGATGGAACGTCACTAGTAATAAGCATGTACACAAGAGGCACCATTTGCTTTTACAAGCAGTGCTTACCCAGTTTCACCACAATTAGCTGTTTCAGCAAAAATCAAAGAGTAAATCAATTCAAGATTGCACTAAAAAGCGGGCAAAATTGCAGTATGCTTCATTAAGCAAGCAAAATTTAAATGCATCAAATTTAAAACAAGGGGTAACAACAACTTTATAGCTGTTGGGCAAGCAAGATAGTATTTTCTTTAATTTATAATTATTTGTAACTAAGTTCTGTTTTTAAACGTTAATTTGCATTCAATCACTGCATGGAGCCGAGAGAATCACAGTTGCCTATTTTGGGGGATACACAGAAGATTTGCAAACCTTACTTTGGCCATAAAAACAATTTTTTTGCATAAAAGTAGATTTGATCAGCATTTGGATATATTCGATTCTACATTTGGATATTCTACATATGAATATACCATTCTTATAATGCAACCTATACCAAAGTTCTGACAGCAATCGTAAGCAATTGGTTCCGTTCAAAATTCTATGCTAGAACAGTTCTTCGGCTGAATTGAAATAGATCGTTTGTTTTGGTGTAGGTGTTGATTTGCTAGGCTTCTTTCTATTCAAGGCCTCAAACTTAAAGATTTCGGTTGATGATAAACAAGGCAGTCAGAAAAAGATTTTGATTCAATTTTACAATTCCTTACCCTCGATGGAAAAATTAAAATTTAAAAATGACCTGGATGAGCAAGTCCTATCTACAAAACAACAACAAATTTTATTTGTTAGAAAAATCGAGATTTACGTATTTCTTGCAAATTTGGCTTAATCCAGACTTTACAATAATGCTTCAGTTTTTTGTACATTTATTAAAATATTTTCCATTCAATGAATTTTCATCAAAAAATGTCTTATGTGATATTTATGAAGATTTAGAGACCTTTGTTAAAATAAAGGTCCTCACTGGCTGTTTTCGCTTGAATTTCTTCTTCGAGGCGTCTTGCAGCAATCTGAAAAGTCATAAAAAAATCCGGTTTATGCCACAAATTAGCACGATATAACGAATAAAAAAATTCAAAATGAAGCAGCTTCATGAATTTCGAATCGTCAAGTTGATGGTCAAGTTCCCAAGATAGAATCACGATCTATTGGGGTCATCATAACAAGAGTTGGAAAATATCGAAAATGATGCAAGTGAAAAGATATCGAAAACGACACCCGTTAATTTGAATGAATTTAAGTTGGATTAATGACTGGACTATCAAACTTTTGACTATCAAAATTACGGTGCCTCTTATGCTATGCCTTTCCAAGACTAGGTTATAAGGTTTAGTAGCTGTTTCTTGTGTGGCTCAAGAAACATTTAGGCGCCAACTACGAGGGGCCTTTAGGGCACGGGCCCTCACCAGATAATTCTTCAGAAGTGGATCAGCCACTTCTGGCAGATTTTTAATACTGCAAAAAGCAGAATACTTTCTCAATTTAAGAGGTGGAAAAACAAAGTAGGTTTTTTAGTAGTCACGATCAGTCACGATCCGCTATCAATAGGACCTTTTTTGTACATTAACTTAACGTAAGTAAGCAGTAAACTGTTGAAATTGAATTATATTATTAAAATCATTGAAATTATATTGGCCCCTTTTCTCAAAATATTTTCATTTCAAACTTTGGGCCACCTCTAGACAAATCAAAAGTCGGTTCCTGTGATGGACGCTGGACTTGCTACAAGTCTCATATTTTACAAAAATATTGGAAAATCTCCTTTAAACTTTGTGATGCTCTTAAATATCGCTACGTGTCTCAACCCCTATGAACTTTTGTTGTCATCTTTATTGATTTTATTTCACATGCAGAGAGCACGAAGCCAGAGAACACGGAGCCAGAGAACATGGAGCCAGAGAACACAGAGCCAGAGAACACGGAGCCAGAGAACACGCAGCCAGAGAACACGCAGCCAGAGAACACGCAGCCAGAGAACACGGAGCCAGAGAACTCGCAGCTAGAGAACACACAGCCAGAGAACACGCAGCCAGAGAACACGCAGCCAGAGAACACGCAGCCAGAAAACACGCATCCAGAGAACACGCAACCAGAGAACACGCACCCAGAGCACACGGAGCCAGAGAACACGTAGCCAGAGAACACGCAGCCAGAGAACACGCAGCCAGAGAACACGCAGCCAGAGAACACGCAGCCAGAAAACACGCACCCAGAGAACACGCACCCAGAGAACACGCACCCAGAGAACACGGAGCCAGAGAACACGCAGCCAGAAAACACGCACCCAGAGAACACGCACCCAGAGAACACGGAGCCAGAGAACACGCAGCTAGAGAACACGCAGCCAGAGAACACGCAGCCAGAGAATACAAAACCAGAGAAAGTCAAGTCGTGTTGCGAAGAACTTGATGGTAGATCTGATCTAAATTCTAAGTAAAGTTAACATACTTATATACAATAACTGTATAGAATGACCAGATGGGCGGGTTAAGGTGATGAGTGAAATGAATAGTGCGGCGAGGAGAAAGTTAATAACAGAGATTAGCAGAGAAGTGAACTTGCCAGTGACGTAGTGGATGCTTATGCTATGATGTAAGAATGTGATGGAATGAATGAGAAGGACAAAATAATGTGAACATGCCTTAGCAGAGTTACTATAGGTCATTACCTGTAACCGTTTTAGATACTTTCAACCTCTTAACCTCTTAATCAATAAACCTTTCAACCTTTTAGCGAATGCTCTTTCTCTAGCAATGCACTGTGATTATGTCTGGGTTTGGTTCTAAAATCCACGAACCAGGCCAAAACAGCATCAATCCATTAGCAAAACAGATCATTTACTTGCTATATTTCAGTCAACAGGTGTAACTGATTTTGCACATTAAGAAGTCTTTCTTGAAGTCTTTAAGGTTATGTGGTGTGAGTCAAAAAATCTAAAATAGAAGCTTTATGACGTCACATTTTGGTACTAATAATATCTATACAATTCCAGGTGGAATAGGACACAGTGATACCTCTGAGAGAAACAATGAACAATAATAGCTAACATGCTTGAAATAGAAACAGCATTCGTAGACAATAAGATACTTTGCATTTCTAGGTCTCCTAAAAACACTCATTAATGGTCGTGAATAGAGAACGAATGAAAAATTAGAAAATAAAGCTTGAGCGAATAATTAAAGAAATCTTAGAGAAAAAATTGAAGAGCCCTTCAGATGCTTGAATTACAGTCATGTTTTTGTACATTTTGCTTCCGAAATCGTGTAAAGTACTGAAGTCTTTGTTAACCAACCAATTCAATCCAATCCAGGTACACTGTCAGAAAGCTATTATAGTTCATAAGACAGCAACATTGTCCGGACAACCGCGAGGTCGTATCTGGTTTCTCCCCTTAGAGCACACAATCATCTTAATGGCTTTTCGAAAAGATGGAAGCCTCCAAGCATATATGAAAGGATTCATCGCCGAGTTGGCGACAGCCAGTAGAAAACTGAGGTCCCTCATCCAATGTCTTAGTCCACATTCTCCACCCGAGGTGTTAAGGTAGATGACCATGCCACAAGAAGGAACGAAACAAACCAAAAACGCTGACAACATTGTCAAAAGAGTCAGCACCAGCTTACGGTGCATATTATTGACGGAGAAGTGCATTCGCACCGACTGGGACAAAGAATCAGCTAGATTTGAGGATTTCTTTCGAAACATACGATACAGTCTTCCTGTCCGTTCCCCATCCTCGCTAACAAATGATCCCAGCTGCATCTCAGCTTTGGGGTGGGCTTCCTCAACTGAGCCATATTTATACTTTGCCTCTGTAATTCTCTTTTCGCCTTTGACTCGACGAGCTTCCTTGCGCTTACGATTTTCATCGTGTACTGTTTGAGTATTGTTATCAGAAAATGTCTCTTTTCTGCTTCTAATTTTGTCGAAGAAGTCGATTTCAACTGCAGAATACACATCGTTTTCGGGTTTAATGACTGTGAAATCTTGGTTTAGCAAAACACTTGTGTGCTCAAGTTGTGTAGGGTGCCTTTCCTTGGTCAACTGGTCAGCCTTCGGCGCTGAACTGTCTAAGACATCGACACTTCTGACTCGCTTCAATTCGTGTCTCTCTAGGCGGTGAATTTGTGCTTTGCGATCCAGTTGTGAGCCTAATGAACGACATGCTTTGAGTTTTCTACTTATTTCATCACTATCCATAAGCACTCCTTGTGTTGTTTCTCTTCCCCTAACAACAACCTGTCTCACATCACTGCCCAATTGTGACGTCATGTCCTTATATTTTTCACTACAGACTTGCTTTTCTATCGATGGATCCTTTTTTACATCTTGCAGCTCTTTGGAGCTTCTTGACTTGAGTCGTTGCAGGGGGATCACTGCTATATCAGCAGACCTCGCCAAGTTGAACGATTGGTCCTTTCCGCGGTTTTTTACCGACACATATAATAAGCATACCGTTGAAATCATGACGATGAACGTGAAGAGCACGCTGATAATGGCCATTATCATCGCCATTCGCTCGTACCCTATTTGAAAGTACACGAATGATACACATATAGCTGTGAGCCATATTATAACAGCTGAAATCACGTGATGCCAGCAAGACAGATCAACCCGGTACATAAATGGAAACCGAATTGCAATGACGCGATCAATACACAAGGCTGCAAGGTTCAGCAAAGAGGCAGAAACGGAGAGAAAATAACTCAAGTGTAATGATTGACGGAGAGTTTTTAAATCTTTAGATACCATTCCCGTTGCCTCGGCTATATGTGTGGCGACAGACAAAGGGCATACCAAAAGGCCGACAAGCAAATCAGCGATTGCCAGATGGACAACGAAGAAGTTGAACGCCGTTCTTAGATCTTTATTGGGATCTCGGTAAACTGAGAAAACAACAAGAAAATTGCCTATTATTATGACTGGGCCTAAAACTGTAGTTGCTGTTGCGCTAAAGATTGATAATACTCTTGGCGCCTCTACAGAAGTGCAGTTAACGATGCTTGTTATTAGCGATTCGGTCATTGTGCTGCTCAACGAATATGGAAGTTCTTGTCCCTGGCTTTGATGGATGAAGACGTTCAAAAGAAAGTCGCAAATTCTTTTTAAAACGGTTTCCTTCGATCGATCAAGTATGCCGAATATCATTGGTTTGATAGGTTACATTGAATTCTTATGGGTTGAATCTTTCTTGGTGAAAATTTCATCAAGTTACCCTCCTCTGTGTCTCACAGTGACTTTAAACAATATCGCCTGTACGTAAATTGTAACCTCCACGAAATTCATCTTCAACCCTATTTTTCAAGCTGTTTCAAAACAATAGAATGATCGAATATAACCAAGTTTTTCAAAGCCAACGCCAAAAGCACTTCATGCCACCAAAATTGATATGTTCATAGTTCGTTGAAAAGTCTTGTGCAATACCAATGTCCCTATAGATACGTGCAAATCTTTGTTATCGGGATTAATTTCGTAACAGCGAAATGAGCCAGATAGGCAAGTTAGGCGTTGTAAATGACGATAGACGCGACTAAGAGAGTTTAACGGCGTGAATCTTTAATCAGACCGGGAAGATGACGAAAGCTAGTCTACTTTCGAAAGGTTGTTATGAAAGTTATTAAAAATATTAAACAATATTCCAATCTAGAAAAAAAGATGACTGGAAGTTAAGCACATTTCATAGTCGGCAAGGCACATTAATTCTTGAGAAGAAAGCAGCTGCCCCGTGTTCTATCCAGTAGAAATCAAGTTAGCGATATCTCGTGAAACACTTGTCAAGATGTCAATTGACCATAGGCCAGATAATTCAATTGTTTTCTTTTCAGAAAACATCCACCGATCAAAAATTATTTTGCTGTTGGAAACAACGGATGCCAATGCAACAAATGGCATTTCAATCAAAATTAAATCGCAGTAAATCGATTTCCAACGATGTCATCAACATAGAACGATGTCATCAACATAGATGCCATTTCTGTTCTTGAGCCTTGAAATCCTTTCCGAACATGTCAACGTCTTCTGAAAGCAAGGCATCTTGAAAGAAAGCAATATATCTCTTTCGTATCGATTTCAATTATGTCGCAATGATGCGAAAATCGTCCATTACTTCATGTGTATACAACATTTGAAAGAACATTCATTTCTCCAGGCGTATGTTACAACAGTCACATAAACTCAACTGGACTTTCATACAAACCTAGCGTGAACTCATAGCCTCTGTTTGTGCATTGTACGCCCACTGAAACAACAGTTGACAAGAGACGAACAGAAACACCAAGTTGAAGAAGGCTGCTTAATTTGGCAGAGGGAAAACGACGCCGTAGATTTACACATAATAAGGGAAATCAAATATGGACCAGTTATTACTCTCTTCGAGACAAGATTGCTGAGCAAACATAGTGAAATTAAGCAATGTCATTTTTAATAGCATTTGATAAAGCTTGTTGACGTTTTAATACAAAGGTTCATCAGTAGTAACTCTAAGCTTACGTTACTCTTACTTTATACAGAAAATATAATTGGAAAGAGCTCTTGTAAAAGCTGAACAAGCAAATAGTTGAGCAGCTGATGAGTTTCAAAGTAATCATTGCAATTTTGTCGAGGCAAAAAATGAGAGACAGCTGCTCAAAATGATGTAAGTTGAGTTAGACCTTGAGAGAGAAGCTCTTCCACTAGCAGAAAATTTCAATCAAAAAGGTACTCTTGCAAAAAAGCTGCCAAGATTCTTGGTTGTCCAGAAGTTTGTTATCTTAACTTTTTGTTATCTTAAACTACCACGGATTGGAAACAATTCCTTGCGATTTGAAAAACAGATTCAGCAGGCCATCACAAAATGTTTCTTTCCTGTCAATTCTCGTGTTGTTAACAGTACTAAGAAAGCCCTTCCATCCATTCAAAAGGATTCCGTTCTTACCGGAACTAAGATTCCGATCAAGAGTTCTTTTTTTAAGAATTTACGCGCTAGTGTGATTTTGGCTATGTTTGACGCACTACCCAAGGATTAGGGGTTAGGATATAACAACACGGTCCTTCCAACATAAGAAACAAAACTGCCCCCCCCCCCAAAGAGAACTGCCCCCTTGATCTTGGAGGTCTAAAAACACCATTAAAACAAGTCATTCTGCCATTGGACAAAATCTTTTAGATAACCCAGATTGTGCCAAAGATTGTGAATTATACTGATTGGCCTATTATAATCCACGACTGGGTCTATATTTTTCATCTTGTTCTTTCGGTTCCTTATTCTGACGTTTTACACTCTGAGGAGTGTCAGACGAAAAAGCTTTTAGTATGTGGTAAAATGTTTGCTTTTTTCAAAGCCTAGAACAAGTAAATTTCCGAAGTGAGGAACCTCTTGCTGAAGTCATTAGCCCAAAACTCAATGCTGAGTTTGGAGCCCGAATTAAAACCTTATTGGCAACAGGTGAGAACCAAAGTTACCAGAATTAAAGAAGCCAAAAAGAGAATTAAAGGAAATTTACCTTTGATCTCTGTGGAAATAATGCAATTGCAAATGGCAGAGTTACGCCAAATGAAAATGTGCAAACGAGTGCGTTCAATGGTAAATTCAGTCTAGGGCGAGCTATCAGGAACTTTGTTCTAAAATAGAAAACAGGTCGAAAATACTCCTTGATCATTAAATGGAAATAATTAAAAACACTTTGAGGTAACAAGGCCATAAAGAAGGAATCGGCTTCAATACACCAGCAAATGCAACTAGGCAGTCCCTCCGTTTCTTAACATGTAGAAATCTCCTGCTTCCTAAAAACTTTGACATTAGCCGATCAGCGATTTATGTACATAGCTAAGGCTTATCTAAAGGCAGGTTAACACTACTCAACATAAATAGAAATCGGAACTTGCAGGGACCAAACTGAAATTTCTGGTAGCACAAAATTGACAAGTATAGTTGAACGGGAAATCCTTTCTATGGGCTCGGGCGCACTAGCACTTGAAGCTTGACAAAATCGTGACAAATGTATTCCCTATTCTCTTCTAACAATAGATGTCAATCTGTCAGGTAATCTTTCTAGTTTGCCCAGCAAAATTCGTTTTTGCTGGATTTATCAACCTAATCCTTCAAAGGTTTCGTCGTCCTGCCTTGAAGTACGATGAACTCATGACAACGGAAATGCCCCTGCTGTTTGTCCAAGTGGAAAAAGCTTGCTTTGATTTTCAGGTTTGACAAAGATACCGTAAAAGCTATATTAAGCCCCGGGGGAGTTTGAATTATCAATTATAAGGTCCTCATCTTCTTAAGAATCACCGGGAACCATTGATAGCCCTGGGACATCTTCTAAACAAATTTCATCCTCTGGGACTCCTTCGAAAGGAACAACATCCTCTAGACTTCTAAGGCGCACAAGAAAAACTTTACATCGGCCGTGTTTAATGCACACGATCTTATCATCATTACACCCGTCAAGAGACCCACTCACTGTGCATGTTTTCTTTGTTTGACATCAAGGGCGAAAGAGGGGGGCTTAATAGAGAGGGGGCTTATTTTAAATTTTTGCTAGACAAGGGGGGACTTAATTTTAAATTTTTGCTAGACAAGGGGGGCTTATTTTAAATTTTTGCTAGACAAGGGGGGATTTAATAGAGAGGGGGCTTTAAAGAGATGGGGGGCTAAATAGAGCTTTCACGGTAATTCCATTTAACTTCTGGATTGGTAATGTTTTGAGGTATGAGTCTTCTCTTGGTGCCCAACTTGGGATTTGTATTGAGTTATCTAATTGAAACGCTTTCAGTAGATCATGATAAGAATACTTTGATAAAATTGAGAAACCTCCTAACCTTTCCAGAAATGCCATGATGATCGGAGGCACGATGAGGATGGGCGCCGGTAAAGCGATTCTTGTTAACGCTGTATCTTGCACGGCCTAAAATATTTCTTAATTGTCAATTGATAAAATTGATAAAATTGATAAAACCAAAGCATTCTATACTAACAAGAACCTAAAAAGAAATAAGAGAGAAAGCGAAAAGATCAATAAAGCTAAACAAAGAGGAAATGTCAAAATCCAAAACAATTTTCTGCAAATACCGTACCTTAATTAAACCCGTCTACATTACTGTACAGAATTGTTTACAAATGCGTTAACTTTGCAGACTGTTTAAAGTTGAGCAAAATTAGAATATCTAGATCGGTAAGACATTTTTAGTCAAAATTACTTGCAGAAATCATCAGCCCTTAGTATGTTATGCATATTTGCAAAACGTGACTCAGTTGTGGTTTGTACCAAAGAATTTAAAAAGGAGAACTTACTTTCCAGGCTGCTATTTTTGAGGTGCCTACCACATTCCCATTTTCGTCCTCCACTTCTATGCCTTCCCTCAACTCATTTTGCCGCATAAGAAATATATTACAAAGATTGGCCATGCCTGAAGAAAGAACCGAAGCAAGAACACATCAAAAACCTTTGCAAAACAAAATAGGCCGGTGAAAAATTTATCAGAACACAAGAAAATAATAATTTTGCTAAAAGCTCCAGATAATCATAAAAAAGCCAGATACCCTTACCCAGCCAGTGGTAGAAGCCTGACGCAATCAGGAGTATAACATGAAAGAGAAACAATGGTACCTAAGAGTTATGGAGAACTAATGCAATAAAAACATACAGGTTGCTGGATAGGCGACAAATCTCTGAACCAGAGCCTTTGAATTTGTAGACAAAGTCGATCTTTTGATGAACAAACTCAGACCAACCTGAACAAAGGGAAAATGCTTCTCAGAATCGATGATGATGATGATGATAATGATGATGATAATATTGCATCCAAAAACAAAGATTATTGTTATTTCTTGTTTCTATCTATGTGTCACCCTCGTTTATAAGCAGCACAAAGCGAGGCTTAAAGAGCAATTTAAGGCTCGAGGCTCAATATGAAGGTGCTTGATACATAGAAATGTTGTTTTAAAATCCTCTTGCAGTAAGAAATATCAATAACAAGATTAAAATAGTTGCTTAAAAAGTTTCTCGGAATTTGATCATCAAAGTTAAGAGGCGATACTTGTAACAGACGCCGGTGATCAGGGTAACATATGAATGAGGACGACTTGTTCATGAAGATGGCTTAGAAACGAGGCTGTCTTTTATTTTTTCTGACTTTCCTGATTCACAAAACTCCTTTTTTATCGCGAGTAGAAGTTTTGTCAGATTTTACAAGAGATGATTCCGCAAAGATTGCCTGTCTTCTTCACAGAGACATCATCATCATCATCGTCATCAAGATTACATTTAACGACCCATTGTGGGTCGATACAAATGTCTACGCATCTATCGTTTGCTGAAATGGTTTCTACATAGACTGTGAAAGGATTCTGAGTTACACTGATTAACTATGTTATCAGGCAAGCTATTCCAAATGGGTATGATCGAAAAGAAGAATGAAAATTTAACAGCATCAACTCTTCCAAATTTTGGCATAATCTTTTTTGAGTGTGACCCTCTTGTCATTCTAAAAGCTGCCAATGAAAAAAAGTCAAGGGGTTTCAAAGCAACCTGGTTTGTAAACATTACTAATACTAATAAGGCAGATGATAATTTTGAACAAAATGTAAAAGTGAACTTTGAAAAAAATGAGTTAGAAGATAAGGAAGAATTCTTGGCATTCGGAAAAACATTCTTACTGCTATTCCGACAGCACTTGTAACTGCACCAGCATAACTTTGTATAAATCGTGACGTTGGCGTTTCCTGAAAAATAGCATGCACATTTAATAATAGTAATTCGAAAATCAACTGAGTGGAGGATTCGGCCAAGGCCTATTAGCATTGCATATTGAAGCTAAATCTTCAATAGCAGATGTCACAACTATAAAATTGAATACAGCAAAAATATCACATCGCTTTAGAGCAAAAGTGCCTACCATATTAAACACTTTATAATGCATGGCAACATCGGCTTGTGGCTTCCATTCTGGAATTTTGCAAAAGTTGCTCAGCTAAGGATAATTGCACTTATCAAAGAATTTGCAGGAGCCATTGCTTTGCTGCTTAATTTTCCTTATTTATAATTTCCACTTATAATACCAAGGTCATATTGTTTATGCTGATATTCATTTTCACTTCTTATTCCTATATATTTAGGATAAGCCTCCCATTTCTTTTTTCACTAATATTATAACAGGCCATTGTCAAATGCATTATCAATCATATTCTTTCATTTCGAAAAACGGCCCATTAGGCAGGTTCCCATTCTCAAATAGTTTCTATATACGCATTTGCATTTAATCGCATTTATAGGCCTCAATGTTCACTTATGAAACCCTACCTTAGACCCTGCTTCTATGTAAATTTTTAGATTCAAGTCTTTAATTGAATTCTTAATCTTAGATTGAATTCCTACTCAAAATCTTCCTTATTTTTCTTGAGTATTCTATAAGCGTCTCTCAACGCTTTACCCTCACTGCGGCTCACAGGAGAGTGTACTTAATTATTTTCCCTAACCATTTTCCTTGTGCTTGCAAGAATAATCCCATTTCGTTTCAACTATTTCCAAATCATCGTTACTTCTCAGGAAACCTTTTTACATATGCAAGTGAACAGACAATGCCTGGAAGAGTCACTTCGTAAAAACAGGGACGACGCTAGGAAGACCATGCCTAAAAACGTTTGCTTCCAAAGTTGTTGACAACGTGTCGAATATAATTTCTTAACTTAAATTCGACTTTTCGTGAAATTAATTTTGGAAATCTTTTAAGTCTGTGTATTTCTCCCAGATTTTGACAAACAGCTATGTCTCTAAAATTATGGTTGATATCAAAAAAACATTTCATTACTTTTAGCAATAATGTTGTATTAACTGAATATTCATACCTTGGTCGCATTGCGGTTTGCATAGTTGACAAAAGCATTATGACTTTGATTCATCCACTAGAAGACGGAAGATATCAACAAAATAAGCTCATCGTGATATACAAAATTAAATATTAAATGCTTTACGATACAGATATTATGCAATATATCAAGCTTTCACTTTCTCAATTCGATGAATAAACATTTGACCGCTGCGGATTCAAAGTTCAACATACATTTTATTATCTTATTCACCGGACCAAGGGTTGTTTGGCACAACATTTAACAAAAAAATTTCTTTTACATAATACAATCACAAAGGGTCTGATCAAAAGAGTACGAAAAGGAATAAACAGAGTTGATGCCAGCTGGGATATCATGGAAAGAATTACTAAGAAGCAGACATAAAAGACGATACGGTGATATTTTGATAAAGAAATTGGTTCTTGATTGGCAAAGTTAAGAAAAGGATAAGCTGTTTCTTAATTGGAAATGCTAATAAAAGGATAAGCTGTTTCTTAGTTGGTTTTTGGGGGGCTATAGCAAAGACCTAGCAAGGGAAAGAGCGGAGAAGAGAGGGGAGGGATGAAGTCTGTTAATTTTGGTTTGAAAAAACAGACAGGCTATTAAGGCCTGGGCAGCACAAACAGGGTAGAGCATTCCAAAGCTTACGAGCTCTGTAGAGGGAAAACGCTTCCTGCGGCTTACTTTAAAAACTGACCATTTTCTGTGTTAGAGATACACAAAAATGTCTGCAATGTATTACTTGGTTTTTTCTTAACAGCGACATCAGCTTTTTATTTAGGTTTTATATTTCATGTATCTTCTTGCTAGTCATTCTAACACTTCTTTTGCAATACTATAGTATGTTTTGATTGGCGGATACAATTTCCGACCCAAAAATCATTGATTTAACAGAATTATCAAGTCTGAACAGCAATAAGCAAAAGCATTGGAGAAACATTCAACATAGTTTGAGAAGAACTTCGATACACATGAGTATTAAATGAATTTTGATGAACAACTCAAATGGATTTGGATGCAAAAGGCATATTTCAACAGTTGAATGGATTTGACAGACATACCTGCCAGAATATGATTTGCTTTAGAGAAGGGCTTGGCAGCAACATACCAACAACCTGAAAGTGAAAATGACAGATATAACAGCAACTTAAAGTATAAATCAAATATAACTTCATTTCATGATAACTACGGCAGTTATTTTGTAGTCAAGGTCAAAGGTCTTGTACATTCCTTCTTTTAACAACATCAAAAAAAGAAAATTTATTTGCTATTACAAATCAAAAGGTGGCTGTATGAAAATCTATAAGCGGGCAAAAAATTTAAAATCTAGAATACTACAAGAGAAATCTAACATTAAACAACTTTACGCTTTTGTCCTTTTAAAAGCTACCTCTTGTGATCTCGGGAATGATAATTTTCCCACTTCTTCCAACTTATAATGACGCCTCTAATAAAAATCATTTCTGATGACTTTTTTAAATCGAAAATTACACCCAATTTACTTTCTCCACATAAAGAGTCTCGAAACATGGATCTATAACATTGATTGCACTATGTAGTTTACAGAATAAAAACAGGTTTAAGTTGATATTTTTGGCAATTATGTTACTCCATTGATTGGTCCCATTGATAAGCCCCTTACATTAGATTTCACTTTAAATTTGCATAGGACATGTTTATGATCGATGAATAGATTCTTCCTCGGAAACGGTAAAAATCTAGCTTTTCAACCATAGGCTGCTACAAAAACAGACAAAAAGATATTTGGTGTCGGTATCAATATCAATAAATTAACCTCGTGATAAAATGATTACAGCATATTTTTCAATTTCTTTTATGTGATGAAATTGGCTAAACATGTCGTTATGCATTAGCAAGAGAAGGGGATCACAGTTTCCATGTCAAGAGAGTCAGATAACAGTATTTTTCAATCCGTTATGGCGGAAAGGGCACGAAGAAAAATGGGGGAAGACGGAAAAAGAAGGGAAAAGAAGGAAAAAGAAGGGAAAAGAAGGGAAAAGAAAGGAAAAGAAGGGAAAAGAAGGGAAAAGAAGGGAAAAGAAGGGAAAAGAAGGGAAAAGAAGGGAAAAGAAGGGAAAAGAAGGGAAAAGAAGGGAAAAGAAGGGAAAAGAAGAGAAAAGAAGGGAAAAGAAGGGAAAAGGAGGGAAAAGAAGGGAAAAAAGAGAAAAGAAAGGAAAGAAGGGGAAAGAAAAGAAAAAGAAGGAGGAAAAGGGAAAGAAGGGAAGAGGGAAAATGGTAAATTAAAGTTCGGATTGAGAAGCAAAATAATTCACTATTACTTGAATACTGAAACTAGGAAAAAACTTTAGCAAAGATTGAATAAGTGACACTAACTGTTATGGTGCCAAATGGGACAAAGCCTACGAAAGCAACAGGATCACATGAAAGTAACGATGATGATAATGCATTTAAAATTGAAATTAGTTACAGTAACACATGTCTCAAAGCAGCATAAGCTGGCTTTGATATTTCATGGCTCAACAATAAACATCACAACAGGCTTTGCTTTGCATTTTCCTGTTAAATTGCAATTTACGATAATCATCAAAGGTAGTTGCCAAGAGGCTGGACATGGCTCTAATTTCAAATTAGGTTGACTTTAGGGAATGAGAGTGGAGAGGTCTTAGCAGGTTGTTGAAAAAACGTTTTTAGTGAAATAATTCACAAAATTTTCTAGATATGAATCGCTTTATGCCATCAATTTCTACTTGTGACAACAATCAAATACAAAAGGAAGACAATTTCCTCACGAGTAATAGCTTACAACATTAACTGATACATAAAGGAGAAACTTCTCTAACGATAAACCGTTAAGAAGGCTATTTCTTTCATATCAAAACAAGACCATACAAGAGAATACAAAGTTGTCACTATGAAGATTAGCAACCAAGTCAAAGGCCTCCTCCAAAACAAAATACTCAATTTTTTGCTAAGATTATATTCTGATTTGCTGCAACAAAAGCTCCAGTGTTTTTGATAATTCCAAATAAAAGTTGCTTCGAAGAAAAGGGTTTTAGAGGAAACTAGTATACCTATTAGAGGAGACATCAAAATAAATATTACCTGACATTCTGAAAGGCAGAAGTATTTTTTCTCCTGTGTCTGGGTGAATAATTGCCTAAAAAGGACAAGAAGCATCATGGAAAAGTTAGTTACTAAAAATTGCAGTATTCCTGAATGAAAGGTAGAGTTTCTAACAAAAACAAAGCTTCATTGCTTCATTGATGTAACATCAAATAGTTCTCTAGAAAACCAACAAACTGATTCAAAGTCAATGTCTAGGAATCACCTACTGGCCTCTATTTGTTTTCACATGCTACAAAATATTCAAAATTTCCCCTGATAGAGAACTCTCTAGTTTCAATAAATAGGTAACATTCAAATGAAAAATTTCATATGAAATGAGCTAAATTGTGCACCACGAGATTTCCAAGTCATCCAATATAGAAAATTCAGTTCATAAATTTTAAAACTACCTCTTTGATCTTTCTTGCATGCCACAACTACAAGGAAAATTTTAAATCATAAAATAATCTCTGTGAAATCTAAATTTGGAAAAATAAAAGCTACTTTTCGTTTGATTTAGAAAATTAATACTTGTTGTTCATAATAAAAATGAGAAATTTATATGGACAGCACATTCAGATAAACTAAATACCCATAGGTAAACAATTGATCTGACAAAAAAAACAATGATGGACAATGTATGCAGGGCCGCTAAGAGGATAAGGAGGCCCTATGGCAGAACTGAAGACAAGGTCCTTTGCAAGCAGAGCAAGCAAAAATGTTTTACAGCCTTGCCTGTGGGATTAACTTAAAAAATATTGTAGAATATTTCTTGCAGCCATTTCCTCAATCCATTCGTGTTCAAAACGTTTTACTATTTTCAGGCATGCTATGTTATGCTTGACTAAATTATATTCTTAAAAAAGTATTCATTACTTAATGAGGCCCCTAGACCTTGACAGACAGGGGCAATTTGCCCCTGCTCCTCTCAGCAGCCCTCATTGTGTAAGTGTGCTTACTTGTTTGTCACTAACATCTTTTGGCAAGGTACCAAGCCTGAATGATTCAAGAAGAGACAAAGCATCTTGAAGCTGGGCCTAAGGAAACTTTCATGTTAAAAATTTGATCAAAATATATATCTATTAACAAGGATAAACAATTCAAGCATCGTGTTGTTATCAAGTCCACAAATCACACCTTAAAGACAAATTCTTAAGTATTGTTGTCAATGACAGCATGTAGGGAAGTATGGGGGTGAACTATGACAAAATATGGTCGACATAATTCTTCAAAAATTGGATACCAATCTTTAAGGTAGGGTTAGATAACATCTTTATTATCACCTCTAGGAAAATTTTGCAAAAGATGCTTGAAAGAAAATCGTGCAAAAGATGCTCGAAATTAAATCAATGTTGTTTGTACCTTACTTGTGAAAAGTGTCCTTGGATCAACTAAATTGAAGCATCTGTATAATCTTCCAAGATATGTTCTCTATCAAAGAAGGTCAAACATCTTAAAAACATACAGTGTGCATAGCATGGAAACAGTGAAATTTGTGCACCCGCCCCTTAGGTGTGGGGCTGTTGGTGTACCCAAGATCCTGTCATCAAAATCAGCCACACTGCAAACTAGATTACAGTGCAGCTAGATTTAAGGAATCTAACTGATTCGAAAAAACCAAGGAAATTTATCATAAGATTGACTAGATCTAACTGTTCTGTTAACAACCTTATATGGTGTGTGCTTTTCCACTTCACAGTACGGATGGAAAACAGAAAATGGTATGCTGTACAAGCATGTGCTTAAGATATTTTGATAATCAAAAACAGTACACTTGCCGAACTGTTTTCTATTTTTCGAACCTGACATAAAAACAACTTTTTTCCACAGAATTCGTGCCATTTGACATCTCAAACAATCGCACTCAAGATATTGTGTCACAATCTTGTTGTGAAGTTTCAAAAATTCCCCAATACTGAGTCAAAGTCATTGCAAAATACTGGAAATAGTATTCCCTGTTGAAATGTCTCATATCTTGAACTGTATATCTTGTGAAAGAAAGTGGAAGCAGAGGTGTAGAGCCCCCCCCCCTCCTCCTGAACCCCCTTGTAAATGCCGGAAGAAGGCCTAATCTGCTTCTTGCCATTGTTTCTAGAGAAATGTTTTCCCCAAGGCCCTACTTTTAGTAGCAGCATAGCCCTGGGTGGCTCTCCTTTTGCTTTCTGTCTTTCCATAATTCTCTTCTTGTATCTATTTTTCTTTAACATTGTAATCTTATTATCAAATTTGAAACCATCAAACATTTTCTGGTATAAAAATTCATACTTTTTAGCACAAAAATGAGAGGGAAAAGGAAGTCAAACAAAGTGGAAATTTATTGGCAGAAACTTTCCAAACTGTTTACCTTTTACCATTTTCGGTTTTCCGTCCTTACCATGAATTGGAAATCCACTGACTGTACTGCCTTATTCACAACGCGACATTTCTCAGAACTTGTGAAGAAATTTCCTATGTCAAAAGTTAGCTTATTTTCATGGGACCAGCAGAAGTTTGAAACAAGAAAATATTGTTGGTGGCTGGGAATTATTTTTACCTTGCCCTTTGTTTGTTCCGGTGTCCCTGGCTCTGGATGGAGCTATGTGCATGATCAATGTAGTAGCTTAGGTATGAGTATGTCAAGCCATAGGCGCAGACTTGAATTTTTTCCAGGGAGGGCTCTAAAATTAATTGCAATTGCTAATGGTGTCTCCCAACACCACAGGGTAGAAAAAGACCTAGCTAGCGGTTCTAAGGCAATTTTCTTTTACATTTTTAATTATCGTTGTTATTTGATCTAGATTTAATCTCTTGAAACAATATTTACCCATGAGAACAAAGGTCGATAGCCAACTTCCTTATTTCCGAGCGGGCTTGAGCCCCCAAAGTTTTCGTCAGGAGGAGCTCAAGCCCTGGAGCCAACGTTGCAAGCATAATGGTAGAACTATCTTTGCTTTGGCATTAAGAAATAAAAATTTATTAGTGGTTGGGGGGTGCAAACATACCTTCCAAACAAAAAAAATCATGGGTAGGGTAGGTAGAAAAACCTAAGCTAGAAATTATCCCCAATTACCCCAGTTTACCCTAGAGGCCAGTCTGCAGAGTTTGGCATGTGCACACCGGAGATATTTTTGTGCAAAACCTGTTGCACACCGGGTATTTTTGGATGTGGCAAATAAGATTGGTGTGGCTTGGTGTGGTCCCATAGAAAATGTCAGCTGATAAAAACAAGCACAGTCGTGTATGAACAATTTGAGATATCATGAATCTTACTTGACAAATATACAAATAAAAACTTGCGCTATCTTCAACAGTATACTTCACGCGCATTTTTACGGTGAAATGCAAATTCACAAATTTTAGCCACAACAGAGGAAAATAGTCGGTGCACACCAGTACACCAGACATTTTTGGTGGTGCACACCGGCACACCAGGCTTTTTGCTCGTGCACACCGGAGATCTCGTCGAAAAGTGCCACACTCTCTGCAGACCGGCCTAGAGGAATGTTTACCAAAAATGACGGGCGAACAACTAGACATTTTTTCACTGCAACAAACAGAGTTCAAGGGATAGGAAGCTGAATAAATTCATATCAAGATCATTGTTTTAAGTCATTTTTACCTGGTCAAACTGGTCGCCATCCAGAGAGAACGTTGGAACTTCGCCCGCCATTGTGGTGTTGCGGTCCAAAAATGAAAACGAGGTAGCTGAATTCTGTCATTCTGTTGTAGCTGTAAAATAGTTTGCAGGAAAGACCCTCAGCCTAAACTAATTATTCAAACTGAAATAGTTCCATTTAGCAATATGCTATAGCAAAACATAGACAGGTTGTAACTTTAGTTACTGAAAGACTTTGAAGATAGGATGTTAAGAATTATCCATAGTTTTCAAGCTAAGTCCACCATACATAAATTTCTAGCAAAGACCGGTTCGAAAATTTTTAATGCAATTGTGCATAATTTTTGACGGACTTTGCTGACGCCATAGAAAAATTAAGTTAGAAATGTTTAGATACGCAAAGAAATTTTTGTTTGTAAAAATGTAGACCATGCCTAAGGAAGCAAAATTGTCAAATGAGAGTCGAGTCACTATAAAATATTTACGGGGAAGTTGTCTTCAATTTTCAAAAAAATGTTGACCAAGGTAAATGCAGCTACACAACAGCTGCGGGAAATTAAAAAAGTTTTCTCGAGACTCGAGAGTGTTACAGTAGTAAAGAAACCGATAAATGGGCAACCAGAAATAAATTGTTAGAGAGGAACGAATTGCACCTAGGGGCAGTAAAAGAAATGAAACTCGATGCTGGGCAAGGATTTGCACCTCACAATCCGTCCACAGAAAATATAATGAAAGTTTTGAACAAATACAAAAGAAAAATTTACCTGATTAAACGGAAACCATTTTTACAAGGAATTATTTCCAAAGAAAAGAAATTAAAGCTTTGACATAGTCAGAGTCCAATTTTTAACATCACTTAAAAAGTTTGACTTCAAATGAACAGTGATCCAAATGGTGGTCCAAAAACCAGAGAATCATTAATTGTAAAAGGTTTCCAGGCCTAATACGAAATTCCATAAGAATACGTTGGCCAAATATATGGATCCATTTCAAGGAGGTTTTTTGCGATTTCGAAAGTTTGCGGCTACTCGTCAAATCATTGAAATTTGAAACTGTTAAAAGACATTTGCCAATGTTATCTTTTAAACAAATGCTCTAAATAGATTGAAGTTTTGATTGGTGGTTGTTTGATGAGGATTGCCCTTCAGCAAAGGCCGATTTACAAGGGTCCTCTTGTTCATTTTTTGTAAAACTTACTAGCTAAACAAGATTAAATAAATAAAATCACGAGTTGGTCAATAGTACAAATTTAATTACATGTTGAAATTTCGAAGTTCATATTATTTTATAATGTCTGCAGGGAACATGCCTGCTTAGCATCAGCTGGTAGGATTCAAAGACAGTGCATCTCGGAAAGAAAAGTATTTCTTGCAGCAGAAATTCTGCACATTCTTAGATTTTTTTATTAGCAGTTATACTTATTTCTGACGGTCTTCTAAATATTCCCGATAGATATTAAGGTTATGGACCATTAAGGGTCTTTTAAACTCTGGTCAAAATCGATCGATTCCTGGTCCCTGAATAGTCTTCAAGCCAAAAATATCTACGACTGGTTCAGTAGGAGCATCAGATAAGTTATTAGTAAAGTTAAACTCCTGCTCGATTCTGAATCTTTTGCAAATTATTCCTTTCGGTTTAACCATAGTTTTCCTGAATAAAGCAACAGTATTTTAAGTGGGGCTTGACAATATCAGTAAAAAGTTTTTTGGAGGCAAACGATTTTTGACATCTTTCCAAACCAGTGGCTTTATTAATTTTTGCAAAAAGAGTAGTGGTTGGAACCTTAAAGCTAAAGTTGCTATTGACATCAACGAGCAAACAATTTAAGTTCATCTTGTATATTCAAAAAGATTTTCCTTATTTTCAACTATAATTTTGCACTTGTTTGTTGATTTTCACCATTGCTTTCATTTTTGCAGCATTTAGGGAAATTTTGTTGCCCTGTAGCCAACCAAAAACACACTTATGGTTTAGCTCTTCATCTCAATCTGCTGCGCAATATTTATTTTCAGATCTATAAAATTGACTGGCAATACAAGGTATATTTTGACCGTTGAGATTTGGACAGCTTGTGATAGGTCATTAAGATAGAGAAGAAATAACACTGGCCCTAAACATGACATCTGTGGAACCCCAATTTCTCTGAGTTCAGAATCAGCTCTTAATCACTTAATCAGAATTAAGTGAAGCTGGCAATGAGTTCTAGAAGAAAAAGCCTTTTTGACAGAATAACAGGTGAAGGTAAAGACAAAAATTTCGCTTTATAAATTATAATGTAAAATCTTTTTGTTGCCTACAACAGTATGCAACAGATAATGCAATGCAGATATATTTGCTTGCATTTTATACGTTAAAACTTGCCCCTGATTGCTTTTTTATGATTTTCAAAAGTTACTAATGAAAGAACACAGTCTTCAATCATTTTTGTGATAGCTACTCATAGTGTAAGTTTTTTGAGTATTTCGAAAATACAGAAACTCACCTTGTGCCTTAACCTCAAACCACGAATAGTTTGCCCAATCTTTCGTGGCGTAGCGTGACCTTTCTCGCTGCAGGTGCGTGAGATGCAAAACCATATCTTACCAACAGAAATTCTTTTGTTACATTTGGCATAAATCTCTAATAATAATAATGATATTATTAGAGTTTTAATAATATTAAACTCTTTTGTTAGAAATGTAAATCTACCGACGAGTTCTCTGAAAGTTGGGGATATGACACCCCCCGCACGCTACGCCCCTACCAATCTCTGCATTATATAAGGGGAGATAGAACTAATTCGTACATTAGCCCAGAAAAAAGTATCTATTTCATCCAAAACAATTTTTTGAAATTGTGAACTAGTTTTGAAAGACTGTCACCTACTTTGCAACTGAAGTTGTGGTTATGAGTTAACAACGCAACATTGATTTTGGCATCGATTGGTGATTTAACACAATTCATTCCAGGTCCTGCGCGATTTCGCACTTCGAAAGAAACTTTACAAAAGGGAAATTCAATCAAGCGGCTCTGCCCTGAATCAATTACCCTCCACCAAGGGCCTACCCAGGGATGCAGCGCTTGTACCTGCATTTAGAAAATAGCATCAAATCTCCTTTTTTTTACAAACCATCATCGCATAATTGCTAGTGTGTGGAAGGCAGCGATATTTGAAGAGGAAGATTTGGGAGAGAGTGCGCACCAACGCGCAGGGAAATGGTTACACAATTTGCTTAGATTGAAGAACAGTTACAGCACAAATGAAGAGACTAGTTATCCTCTAACAGTGAAGAGACTAGTTATCCTCTAAGTAGAAACTTCTACAGTTCTACAGGCTGCTTTGGTACAAATTGATATCCCCCTTACATCTCTTAACACCGCGTCATTTGAACTTCATTGTTATACTTATATTGTTGAAATGGGCCACATATGCAGGAATATTTCTAATTTATACATAATATATTCATATGTTTCAAACTCTGCAGGATTCTGCAGCGTCATATTGAACAGGATCACACAGTCAAATAGCTATGTGTAGTTCGAACTCTCTGGGGGATCGTGAAAATTTTGAAAATCCCTGGATTTTGCCTCATTTTTCCCTTAATCATTGTTTATAGCCTTCATTCATACAATTGCAACATTTTAAGTACTTCATACGGACAGACCAAGGTTTATCAAATGTAGTCGTCTCATTTCCACCAACAGGTATTTGACAGAAATAAAAGTGGAACGCTGAAAAAATCAAAGAAAAATTGGAAAGATGTATTATTTAGTTTTCATGTAACGTATTTCAAAATATTGTGTTTACACGTCATTATAGAACGTGCCTAAAAATTCATTATTTCTTGCATCCTTGCTATTTTAACGTGCTGATAATATAAAAATTGCTACCAATTTTTGAATAATGCTAATTGTTCATGTTTTTAGAGGCGTTCTAACTTGTGTGGTGACGACATGAGAATTGGTGCTATGAGAATTCGGCATCAGCAAGCATCCAACAAAATACAAAGTAAATATAAGATTTCTTTATGATAAAGATCATCCGATAATTCAAGTTGTAAGGCTAGGCTCTTTGGGGTTATTGAAGCACTAAATATAAATTTGGTTCTAAGATACAGCGGTAGATTGCAGTGAAATTCTGAAAATTGCGATTTTGCTGACACTGACAATTTTGAGCTCGATGGCTGGGGCTCGATGCCATTGCAAATATAAATCGATTTTCCTGAGCTTGTTCATGCTAAGTATATTCTGTGCAAACACCTATTTTATTGCTTGGTGTTGACGCTTTTAAACGTAGATACTTTGCGGATTCCTTCATTAAAACGTGAATTTTGTTTTATATAAATTTTCGTTAGCTGCTATTTGCCAAAAAAGAAATATTTCAAGAAACAGGTGAATAAAATTGAATCGGTGTTGAGACTAAAGAGATAAATATTAAATGCTTACAGCAATATCATTGTTTAATTAAGCAAAGCATCTCATCACAAAAGGAAAGTATTTAAACCGACTACGGGCTTAATCCTTCTTGCGTGCTTCTCGCCATCTGATTGACTCGGTAGTCACGTTATTGCGGTCGAACAGTGCTTATGATGCTGGTTGGGTAAGCGACTTATAACCCATATGATAAACACATGAAAATCAACACGACACTGTGGCCTTGCCTACATTATCAGTTTCTTAACGTGATCACAAATATAAACTTGAAAATCTTGTTAGCCACAGGGTCAAGGAGTTATCAGGTCAGGCGACGTATTTGCTTCTTGCAGCCATAATCTGTTTTTCTAAGCAGGAAATAGGATGATTCCTGCACGTGACTTGCTGATGTGCCTCGCCTCCCTCCAAAACTTCATGAGGTATCTTAGAGGAGATTGTTTCTTAAGGTGTGTACTGCTGTGGGGGCTAAGGGAGGTGGGACAGGCCCCCTCTTGGTACCAAAAAGTAACCAGCTACCTTTTCTGGCATTATTTTGGAAGTAATATGTGTTAGAGCTCCCCCCCTTTTCATCCTTTAGCAAGACATCCCTCTTTTCTCCTAATTTCAAAAATAATTTTTAGTCAACATTGCTTCTAAGAACTTGGGCTATTTTTAGAATTTATCTTATTTTTCAAAAAACA